AGGCAGGTTGAAATTGTGTGGCTTGTGAAAGAATTTGGTTTTCACTTACGCTCGAATTATTTACTGTAGTTATTCTTTACCCAGTGGTAAGGAACTAGTCTACCCAGAGGTAGACAGGTAATTGTGTTAACAGTGTGTGTTGGTTAGTTATTTAAAAATGGATTCTAAAGGACCAGCAAAGGACATTCTAACTGTCTGTGTGTTTTAATTAAGTAATACGCTTTATTACGGTGAATCTGAGGTGATCTACATTGACATTTCCTGGGAAATAAAACGTCGGTCGGATAAAAATCAGTCTTTCCTAAATTTTGGCGAATTTTATCATTGGGTTTTGAAGCAATTTCTGTGTTGTCAAGCGAAATGCTACGCGCCGAAGTTTCATGGTTGGAGCAGGGCCACACCACTATCCGGCAGAGGATTCCCTGTCCAGCTGTCCCTCTTACGCAGTACGCCAAGTTAATACTGTTTTGTTTCTGAATAATATTTGATTAATTTTCACTACGGGCAGGTGATTTCGCGAGCAGAGCAGGATAGACGTTAATTTGTTAATGGTGCCGGGCAGAGATACTCACGCTTTCTGCTGTGCAGTAATCGGATACCGCTGATGCGAGCCACACTTGTAAGCACATCAGAGGCACCCTGCGTTTTGGTCTCTGTGTGGCAGCCAGTGGTCGTGAACATGGGTGCCGGGCGGGATGTTCACGTTTGATCACCGGCAGCATAATATTTAAAAGCGCTTAATATTTATCAGCACCTAGTACCACGGTGAATACCGCTATCAGTTGCAGTAGTATTACCATTACGGCAATAACAATAGAAGTATCAGCAGCACTACCAGTAACAATAAAAATCACTACAAGAATTACCCCTCGGCTGCAAGATATAAAGAAAAACAAAACAAAAGTTTATATTTGGAATCGCAGACAAAACAGAACCGAAAAAACCAAGTTAAATTAACAAAACTTTGCATCGATGACTATATGCAACCAATCTCCTTAACATAAAAAATTCGAATTAACGGGCACGATAGAGAAGTATTAGTAGCAAGGCTCAGGAAGGTGTCTGGCCGTGTAGAACTTTGCATATATAATAACACATTACCGCGTAAATATTATGATGTTCGTGGCATCAACAAGACAAACGATACTACTTAAAAATTATTTTGGATTAACTGCCAGCTAATCAATCATGTCGAAGACGAATCGGTAGTTTAGTAATGCCCTGCACTATCAAAACTACTTTGCCAGGATATGCCAGTATACGAGTAATTGTTATCCGTTGGTCTATATATGCAGCTGCCTGCTGCAGATATGGACAGGATAGTACACGATAAATTTTTCAGGACACTTTCTAACGGATGTATCCATAGTATCCCACAGTATGCGTAGGTATGCCACCACCTGGCAAAGCGAAATGTAAAACGAAGACCATGTGAGCCAGTTATGGATCCAGGCCGATCTATGGGTAATGTCAGTCTTAAAAAAATGATTTGGTTAATGAGATCTCAAAACTATGCGACGCCGCGCGTATAGATCTCGTACTATTATTATTACAGTGATTTCGTATGACGTGCGGCAATACTGTACTTACCTGGAAAGCCGGTATCTGTGTATACCCAATATTCTCCGTGGCTGTATTCATCATTTTAATCACTCTGTATACTGGGCAGTAAGCGTTTTTTCAAGTCGAAAATCTGTGGGATACGGAGCGGGTACAACGGGGTCCCTAAAGTGAACGGTCGGGATACAGGAAAATCGCTTACGGGATACAGGTTGCATACGTACGCATACTGTGGGATACGGAGCGGGTACAACGGGGACTCTTAAATGAACGGTCGGAATACAGAAAGGTCGCTTACGGGATACATGTGGCATACCTACGCATACTAAGGGATACGGAGCGGGTACAGCAAGGTCTCTAAAGTGAACGGTCGGGATACATAAAGATTGCTTACGGGATACATGTGGCATACCTACGCATACTGTGGGATACGGAGCGGGTACAACGGGGTCCCTAAAGTGAACGAACGGAAAATCGCTTACGGGATACAGGTTGCATACGTACGCATACTATGGGATACTATGGACACATCCGTTAGAAAGTGTCCGGAAAAATTTACCGTGTACTAACTGTGCCATAGGCGGCCTGCTGCAGTTAACGCTGTACGAATTTTATGTGTCATTTTTTAACATTTTTTTGAATTTTATTTTTCATTTCTTATACTTAGCTTTAATTGACGCTGTGATTAGCTACGTTATCTGAACCCGTACGATATGCACATTAGGACGCTAATGCTTTTCACTTTGAGTACAATTGCTGGCAAGCAGAATTCTTCATTATACCACTGATGCAATGCATTTGTCTTTATTGATCCGTGTTTCATATGTTTAATTGTCAGTGCGTACTGCATAATGAATATTCCCAGCTAATTATACGAGGATCTAGGATCTAAGAACTGGTTATGATCTAGTTATAAGCGCGCATTATCGGCTTATCGTACATGTTCACTAATGCACCTTAACCTGCAATTGTATGCTATGCGCGCTGCAGTACTGTATAGTGTATAGCAGAATAAATGTTCAGCATATTCGCGCTTATCTCGCACTAGTTGCGCGAATCGTGTACGCGCTCGTACAAGTGCTCGTGGCTGCACTGTAGAATTTTCAATTTCGTGGCTGCATTGTCCTTCAAGTGCCGGGTTAGGGTACAGTACAGTTGTAATTAAATTAACTTCAGTTTTATTTTAACTTACTTCAATTAAATTCCGTTAATTAATAACGTACGGCGTACCGTGCACGTCCCGTACCGCGTACATCCCGATCACCGCAATTAGCCGTACCACTTGATAAACGCCGTACGATGGGTTAAACGCCTCCCGTGGTGGCTGCCCATTACACAGAGCCTCCGTAGAGATTTAACATTGTGCTATGCAGAGTTGCTCTACAAAACCACCGATAAAGTATTTTCCCATAAATAATCGTACCATTGCACTTTTCGGACACAAAGTCACATTATTTCCGACATTCTGTTTTTCTGTTGATTGCGAATTTTTAAATTATAATGGCGTGGAGACCCTGGAAAACACCGTCTGCTGTAATTTCCGATTATTTGTACGAAATTCCCAACTCGGTCGTCAAAGATTTGTACGTTTGTCGGAGACCTGAAATCCAGCTGCGTGTAAAGAGTGGCCTGAAACAGTTCGGGAAGGAAGAACTTGGATTGAACGAAAAAGCAGTTCGGCTGGGTACAACTGGATACGTTCAAAACCTGGAATTCCTCCCGGATGATGAATGCTCAAGAAACAGTACAGTAAAAGCGCTTGTGAAGTGTTCCTGTCACGCCGAGATGGATCCGCACTATTACGATCTGGAATTATGGATTGATATTCAAGACAAAGTATTGACAAAGGTCTCCGAGTCCTCCTGCACGTGTATTGCCAGCCGTCAACTTGGATCCAGCGCTCTTTGCAAACACATATTGGCTGTTTTTTATGCGTTGCGTCTGTTTGTGGACACGGGAAGACCCCCAGAATGGCCCAGGCTGTGCACAAGCGAAGAGCAAGCGTGGGGTATCGATAGACTTGCCAGTGGACAAAGAACTTTGAAGCCGGATCGAGCTGATGTATTTGCTCATTACTGTAACCCTCTCGTAAGGGAGGAATGGAAACCGGATTTGAGTAACCCTATACCTCCGGATACGCGGCTTTTTCCGCCATCAAAGCTGGAAGAACTTGAAAGGTTATCAGAATCTTTTCCTTTCTTAAGGCCTGCTAATTCATATTTAAAGACTCTACAAATGATGCTCCTGCCTCGAGTGCAAAGCAAGGAATTGGAAAATCCGTTCGTTGACTGCACGCAATGGCCACAAGGTTTCGCAAAAGTCGCTTAATTAATTTTATATGTTAAAAAATTTTCTATGCTTTTTCGTAGATGCTCCTAAACTACCGCTTGTAGGGATTGGAGATCCAGATACCGCCTTTTTTGCCGCTTCACCACTGGCTTTAGATGATACGTTATTCTACCATAAATCTGTGTTTATACGGACGCTGGAAGAGTGTATTCTGATCGAAGAAAAAACAAGACGCCAGGGGGAGTGTGCGGACTGGCAGTTTTATCGCAAAAACCGAATTACGAGCAGCATTTCAAAACGAATTGTTACGGCAATGTGCAACAACACGAATGGTAAAGAAATGCGACGAGAAAAGTTAGCCAAGGATATCATTAAACCAACAGATATCGGAAAATTACCGCATGTTCGACGAGGAAAGGTCTTAGAACCCAAAGCTGTCGATTTCTTTCTGCGAGAGATGTCGAATCGCGGTTTTGAAGCTGCTGCGTTCCTGACGGGTTTTGTCATTCACCCCACTGTCAGCTGGTTTGGTGCGTCTCCAGACCGCTTGATCCGATCGCAAAGCAACGATGGTCTGGTGGAATGGTGCTTGCTAGAAGTTAAGACTTTTGACTCTTCGAAGGCACTCGGCTCATTGGACTACCTAGTTTGTTCCGTGGACAGTGGTAATCTGACTTTAAATCCTAATCATGCGTACAATTACCAAATTCAGAGTGCTTTGCTAGCGACCGGATTGCGGTCTTGTTATGTGATTATATACGGATCTGACGATACCAGTAACTTTGTTCAAAAAATCGAGTTTGATAAGAAAATCTGTGAGCTCATTTTTTTGAAATGCTCAGAATTTTATTTTGGTGTGATGTTGCCTTCTTGTCGAAAGCTTAGTCAATAAACTGATCCCGAATTTTCCAGCTGCAGTCTCTTCTGGCCCGGGTACCGATCCCGATTACCGAACTTTAATATCCATTTATAATACTAATCCCCGCGTACCCATTTACAATACTAATCCCCGCGTACTCATTTATAATACTAATCCCCGCGTACGCGCTTATAATACTAATCCCCGCGTACCCTCTTATGATAATGATCCACAGTAATTAAAAATACCCGCGTAACATTTTATAAATACCGATCCCACGGGATACCGACCATTTATTAGCAACAGGTAAAAGTAAATTGCAAAACAGAAAACGTTCGTTAACAGTCGATCTCGTTTTGAAAAATATCTTGCACAGAAAAGGCGCTGCACACGTTGTCCTGCGGTTCCATAGAGTCATCAGATGGAACACTAGCTTCGATTTCTGGGATTAAATCGGGAAGAAATTTGCACAAGTGGGCAACGACTTGTATCTCTTTATCTTTTCTCTCCAGTGTGGTAATCTCAAGCGGACCATCGAGTTCCCTCCACCTTTTCATTCTACCAATAGCGCGCTCAATGTGGATCCGCACCCGCGCAATTTTGTATGTCAACTCAAGCTCTGCGTAAGTCATCCCACAGTTGCCCTCCACACTAGGAGGGACAATCCATGTGATACCTTTTGAGGCAGCAAGCTCCTTGAGCTGAAACCCTCTGTCAGCCAAAATAACTGAACCCAATGGCAAACAATCCAAAAACCTTGAACGTTTATCGATTTCAACATCTGAGATACTTCCTTGATAAATGTGCGATACATAGCAAATATTACCGTTCGGTTCCATGGCGACGAAAACTTTCACTGTAGTAGATCGCTTATAATTGCTGTAACAACGCCTTTGGGTATCAGGATTTTTCGGCTTTTGTATCCGAATTTCGAAACAGTCAACGATGCCAGTAAGACTGGGAAACTGACGGGCGATGTGTGATGGTATAACAACAGGCACTTTAAATTCCGGCCATTTGCAAAACAACATCTGAAATCGCTCGTGCATTATCTTTATCCATACGTTGTAGTACTGGCTGACGACTTGCTGACTGATACAAAATATTGCAGAGATAATATCTTCGGTTAAGCCCGTCCGCAGTTTAAGCAGCGCTAAGAAACATTGGTTGAAGTAGCTTAACGACATCGTCCTTCCACCTCGCTTTCTCCGACGGTCAGGGTAATGTTCTCCCTTGACTCTTAACTGAAACCGTTCCACAAATTCCGGGTTTTTTCCGTCAAAGTATTCATAAAACAGGAGCTCAACATGCTTGTATGATGGTAGTCCAGTCAGTCGCTGGATAGCGGAATCATTTCCTTGGAATTTCTCTACTCGGAATTCTTGTTTTTTATAGCTTTCCTGAAGATCTGCAATATTTTTTTCATATTGTTTTGCTAGGTTTTCGGCAGCCTGCTTATTCGTTTCCATTGTTGCTTCGAGAGATGAACAATTCTCCATGAGCACTGAGTTGGAAGTCTGCAAAGCGTGACAACGTTCTTCAAGTTCCTGAATTGCGCTTTGTCTTGCTAAGTCCAGGGTTTGATACTGCTGGAGTTCGGCATTCAGACGTCGAATTTCTGCATTCGCATTCTCAAGGCACGTTGATTCGGCCAGCAACCGTTTCTCAGCAGAAATCTGTTAAGAAATATAAGTTATGAGTGGAGAGCGTAAATGCATTTTCTGTGACCACACATTATTTACGGTAAGGCTGTGGCGAAACTGGGTAATACGACAGCAGTCAGTAAACCTTACCAGTTTTTTCAGTAACATTTTCCCCTCTTTTTCTGCTTTGTGGTGATTACGTTTGGCAGTCAGAGCGTCGCACTGAAACGTCTCAAGCTCCGTTTCGGGATCAGTGGTAGGCTGCTGCTGCAGGACATCACTTTTTCTTATTCTTTTTCGGCTTCTTTTTGCAGCACTTGATGCGGGACGCACTAGCTTTGGCAGACAATCAAACACGGATGGTATAGAATCCTTACTCAGCCGAGTTCGCTTTGCCCCTCTGATAATGTCAGACGGGAGAAAGTGAGCGCTGCACATGCGGGCTCCATTTCTTGGCTTCCAGTTACTGCGGCGACACAGATGTATCCATATTCTCCTCCGCTGAACTTCTAGAACTGAGGGAAACAGGAACATCTTGATACCAGGCGATCGAGATGTGTTTGGGCATTCCGCGACCTCACAGCGATTCCATCCTGGTTTTCGCTTTTTCGAAATACGAGGAGCTGTTGCAGCGGTGTGTGATACATCTTCCCTGATATCCCGCTCGCATACAGTATCGTCGACAGTATGGGTCTCCATTGAAACTTAAAACTGACTATACCAAGCCGTTAAGCAAAATTCACCAGCTATAAGAGAAGTGGGAAACAAATAACGATAAAGGGAGATAGATAAATAACAAGCGTTCTGTATTTCCACACTATCGATCTGCAGAGCAACTCTGCATAGCGGATTGTTAAATCTCTACGGAGGCTCTGTGTAATGGGCAGCCACCACGGGAGGCGTTTAACCCATCGTACGGCGTTTATCAAGTGGTACGGCTAATTGGTTGTACACGTACATAACTTGTTTAACTTGTTTTAGGGTTGCATGTAATACAGGGTTTTGCTCGCCCGAACGTCGCAAATTTTTAGTCACGTGTTAGAGTCATCGAGACTTCACACGTGCAGCCACCAAAGCAGACTCTGCATTTTATAGTCAGACTCAGCTTTTTAGTACTCAGACTCAGCCCTTCAGTAGTCAGACTCAGCCTTTTAGGGGTCAGACTCAGACTCAGACTCAGCGCTTCAGCGCGGGCCGGCATATTACCCTAACGAATCAGTAGCTATATCCTAAAGTAAATCATGTTACAGAGTCAGCCCTAAGTCGGCTGTCCGTGGGGATCTCAGCGAAGAGGGCGGTTCCGTGAGGCATTCGCAAAAATGGCGATGGAGCGGAATCGAACCGCTGGCTACCGAGTGAGATCCACGTAGCACAGCCACTGTGCCATCGCCGCTGTTGGCGAAGATCAAGATATTTGTGCTTGAGCTTGAGTCAACCAGGTAGGCGGCGGTATGGGGCGGCTGTCGTGGGCACAGAGTAGTCTACTCTAATAATCAGAATCGTCGCTTTATTGAATCATGATGTGACAGTGCAATAAACTTGAAAAGAATCTGAACCCACTATTTCACGGTACCCAGTCCCGTTCGGACTAAACCGTGAAAAACAGAAATTTGTTGGATCCATACACTCAAATATCTTCCAACGCCTGCCAGAATGGGTTTTTTGTGGAGCCCAACAGATCAGCACGGGTAACGTATGTCATCACGATCCGGGCTTATGTGCGTTCCAAATGGTCCGAACAAACATGCGGCACCTATTCGAGAGACCACACTGCGCAGCTCCGTTTTTTTAAAAACCTGTGCTTATGCTTAACTGAATGCATCGTAGCCCATGCGCGATAACGCGCCGCACTGACCGTATATCAGCCAGCAATAAAATATGTCAGTATTCAAGAACTGTTGACAAAACAATTCAATCAAGGGAAAACACATTTTTTTCCAAAATGTTGCTGACCATAGGTTAGCTTCAAACCGGTATTAATCTGACAGCAACGGGCTGATTGCTATGCATAAAAAATTTGAGTAGATTTAAATACAATTGTAGCCAGACAATTTCCGGCTATACAACATTGCAGCGTGGGCAGTCTTTGAAGGGTTATCTGCCAACAGACTCGTGGTCCTCGAACTGACCAGCGGTCAGCAGCATGAAATTATCTTGAAATACAGAAAGTGTGTTTATCACCGCTACAATGCCTTTGCCTCACCGAAAATTGTGCCGAAAAACACCCAAAAACACATTAACAGAAGTCCAAAGCGCCGTCCTGCCCTCACATCTCAAACGGAGGCATCCAAATCGGCAAAGCATTTGCTACGCTCACTATAGCTTTGTTAACGTTTCGTACATATTTTTAGTAAAGAAAAGCACAGTTTTTGGCTGACAACACAATGCCGAGAGCTCTTGGCTCCTCCGCACAGTTTCCACTTGAATCCATTGTATCGCACATCACGAAGAAGCTGTTAGATCAGAGCTGGTCCGATATGAATTTTTCGTCACCGCTACGATACCGCTCCAATAATTAAACTGTCCGATACCATTCCGATACCACTACGATTTTGCTCAAAATTTCCGATACGATAAATCCGATGTTCCGATAAAAAAGCGAAATTTTTTTAATGAAAGTTCGCACTGGCTGCCATTCACCGGTGCATACCGAAAAACTGGTTGTAAGATTTTTTTAAAAATTAAGGGTAAACTTTTGGCTGGAATTGTGTTTCAACGATTTGGTAGCGATTTTTAGTAATGGATCACTCAAAAATTTACGCTGTGACTAATTTTTTGCTTAAAAATCGAATCGAAAAATGCTAAAATTACGATTTTTTTGTGTTTATCGGATGAAAACCCCGCTACGCTAAAGATTTTGCCGCAATGCCCGATAAATAGTTTTTCCGATCCGCTACGATACGATACAGAATTCTTCCGATACCGCTTTTTCCGATGGAAACATCGGAACTATCGGAGTTATCGGACCAGCTCTGGCTGTTACTCAGTTTCTCCGCTCCTTTGTTATCCCTATCGCATGGCTTAAAGAAGCACCATCAGCGGCCCGGGGCCACCAAAGGTTATTTAGTGTAGTGTATGTGTATCTGTAGTTGCACAAATGACATACTCTGAGAGTCCTCCTCTCTGCGTGGGAGACTCTCTAGTGCCGATCTACCGGAAACGGGAGCGAGACAAGGATAAAAAGGGACTTTTTATCATAAAACCGAAAACATAACATCTCACCAAAACTCATAATCACCAACTGACAATCTATAGCTCACAATATACCTGCGCTAACGCTGCTCTACCATACGCCGCTACGTAAGCCTCACGCAATCGCCGAAAAGGTACGGCGCGATGCCGTTGGCGGAAGATAGCGGAAGGGCGGATCGTAATACCTGCGATCAGGTATATACGATCCAAGCGTGAAAGCCACTGCACTGCGTCTGAGCTGCTGGGACGAGGGCGTAAGTCCCTCTCAATACGAAAATCTCGCACCCGGACATTTGGGAGTGTGACATTTCGCCGCAATTAAATTCGACGCACGACTTTTCGCCGCGAAAACTTTTCGCCGCGGGACATTCTGACGCTGGGACACTTCGGTTTGGGACAATTTGCATTGAGACATTTTAACTTTGCGACTTTTTGACGCAAGACGTCTGGTCGCGGACACTTCGCCGCAAAAGAATTGACACGCTTAATTTTCCGGGTTACTTGGAAGGTTTTCTTAGGTTTTTAGATTTCTTAGGTTTTTTACATTTCTTGGGTTTTTTAGATTCTTTGGTTTCTTATTTTTCTTACGTTTTTTAGGTTTCTTAGGTTTCTTCGGTTTCTTAGGTTTCTTAGGTTTCTTAGGTTTCTTAGGTTTTTTGGGTTTCTTAGGTTTCTTAGGTTATTTTCTTCAGTGTTCCTGAATTATTTTAGGTGGTCCTAGACTGTTTCAATTGGCCTGATTGAAATGTTGTCTGCTAAAGTGGGCTTTTCGTCGAAACAGCCTCGCGGCGAAGTGTATCGGCGTCTAAACGGCCTTGCGACGAAATGTCTGAAGGTGTGATGTCCAGCCGACTAAATGTCCCGCGACGAAACGTCGCGAGGCGAGATGACCTCGCGGCGAAATGTCTGCGAGCAAAAGTCCTGCGACGAGTTGTCGGCTGCGAAATGTCGCGGTGCCGAAAATCTCGTAATATCCTATGGCTGATGCGCCTTAGCAGCTGGATTTCATTGACTGTTGTCGTTGATCATTATTGCAGTCAGTGGTTTTGGTTAACTCCGTAGCGAGCAGGGCGTATTAATAAAGTATACTACGTCTGCTACGTACGTATATGACAGTTTACCTCCTTTTGCAATGTTGCTGTAATATGCTACGAAAAGAACCAGTACGGCGCTCAACACTCGATTGTTGCATTCCAGTTGTCGCCGGCAGCCAAGGACGAACTACGGAACTAGCCTCCGTAGAGACCACAGAGAGACTCAATCCTGTAGCACGTCATCACAAGATCGTCATCGAATGGCCAATACACTGTCTAGGCGTTAGTCACTGTTAATTTTGCTTTCTTCCTCTCAATATCCGCTTCTGGTAGCGGCAAACCTCATTCCTCGTACGTCTAGGGACGGCTGTGGATTAACGTCTGCTACTTTTAAATTTTATTTAAAGTTTTTTAATATAGTGTCCTGGCTGTACAGTGATGCAGGCGACGTTGACATCTGATAGCTGGTACAGTACCTTTTTTTATAGCGTTGGCGTCTGGTAACTGTGCTAGTGTCGCTTAAGGAGTAAAAGTACAAGTCATGACGTCAGAGGCAGGATTTCATTGTGCATTGTATTCGTATCTTCACAGCCATTATATCCGCATTTCTGTTTGTAAGTGTGTTATTAAAGCAGGAAAATTGGATGGGTAGAAGCGGAGAATAACGCGGTCTAACAGGAGATGCCAAACACTTGCAAAGGTTGTTTAGTATTCGTGTAAGTTGTGACTATTTTTATCCGTGTGTTTCCTGCCCTGATTATGGCGTATCGAAGTGTAGCGATGCCACGATATAGTAATTATTATGTGAGAGCGAGTGACTGTAATTAAAATTCAATCAAAACTAAACAGCTTACCAGCATCATCAATCGATTACTCGGTAAAGTGCAATTAGCACGCACAGCGTAGACCAAGCGACCAGTAAAATCACGGCAGCGGCACACTTTTCCTCTTGAAAGATCCCAGCCGCTGTTGACGCCAGTGACTTGTACAAAGCGTTAAGTCATTATCCAACAGCCGTACGTGTTGCTTTCCCGGCATTCACTGCACTCATGCGATTCGATTTCCTCCTGTAAATACAGCTACACGCACCAACCGGTATCAGAATGACGCGGCATTTATTCCCTTTGCTCCCGGTTGATCCTGATCGTACGTTAACCAGGTGTACGGTGCGTGCACACATTCATCCAGCACACGTGCTGTGCATAGTAGCGCCTGCCTGGTTCCCGAGATCGATGACAACCTGTGGGAAATCGATATACAGCCAAGCAATCTCTTAATGCTGTTAATGCACCACGCATACATACACCACAGCACCTTCACGGAACACCTCTTTCGCATTCTCTCGCTCGCACCTTTCTTTGCGTTTGCTTTTCATCGAGGTATAAGAGCTCACTAATGGCTGGTGGGTTCTTTTTGCAGCCTGATTTTTCGCCGTTTGCTGATTGTCCTTGTTAGGGATTCGCGCATGTGACATACTGTGTAAACAGCTTGATGTTTTCACAGAATCTACGCGGCTGATGGGCTGCACGAGTTTTCTAACGGTTTACAAGTGTTGAACGCCATTTGTTGGGATTGATGTGATAGAATTACGGCTGCGTGTGCAGATCATCCTGACTGAATTAATTGACGACCAGATTTATCCCTGGAGACGGCATCTTGAGCGGGTTGAAGATGTTTGCGCTGATGTAAGAGCGATTTCTCCGTATTAAATGGATGCGGTTCTGCGTGGTCTCGTTAAGGGTAAGCACCAGCCTTTCTGCTTCCTAAATCATTAAGGAAATGTCACCTTGTGCGTTTATTATTTTCAATGCCCAAATAGTTTTGGGAAGTCTGAAGTAAACCGACTAAATTTCGTATAAGAAATTAACCATGATCGAACTGGGGAAAAAAACTTTAAGTTATTTGGTCAGTTGGTAACTTACCATGGACTTCAAAATTTTGTTACATTCGGTCCGGGACCGAATGACCAATAGAAATAAATGGCCAAGACCAAATGACCAATAAACTGGAAACGCGCAGTAATTGAACACTTGCTGTTTGCGCATTTTCCAACGAAAACCATCCACCGATATCTCAAACGAAAGAGAAAAAAATTTTATGAATTTTGATACGAAACAAGTTAGTTTTTATGGGATCTGACAGAAAACCGACGCATCTAAAGTTTCTCGTAGACAGAGCATACGTTTTCTGTGTGAAAACTGAAACCAAACCGTGGATTCAAATGCTATGCTTTGTCTACGAGAAACTTTAGATGCGTCGATTTTCTGTCAGATCCCATAAAAGCTAACTTGTTTGGTATCAAAATTCATAAAAATTTTTTCTCTTTCGTTTGAGATATTGGTGGATGGTTTTTGTTGGGAAATGCGTGAGGTGCAAGTGTTTGAACTCAACAGGCCGATGGCCAGCCCGGAATTTGGCTGATTGAGTACAGGTAAATAGCTGGTTGCGCGCGTTTTGTGAGTGTAACAAAATTTTGAAGTCCATTGTACAAAATATTACTGTAGAACGCAGAGATCCAAATCTGTTTTTTACCAGCCATGGCGAAAAATTTTGTATAACTATTATAAAAACCCTAAAGCGCGAAACAGATTTTTGGAACGCTTAAGTATTTACTGAAATTCAGGAATTTCTTGGACAAATTTGGCTTAATTTGATTTCTTTGTGTTATTGTCGTTATTATTATCGTGCTGCCGGTCGATAGCGCCGACAGTGACTCACTGTTTACTATTTTTATTTTTAACGATCGAATGTAGGCGCTATCATACTGCTGTTTATACGTACTATCTGAATACGTAATTTTTTACTGCTTGACGCAGAAATTTCTTAAAATAATTTTAAGTACATTACCATAAATATGCTGATTGTAGTATCGTCTCTCCCAACATCCGCTGATCACCGCGTGAATTCCCTCCCCTAACGGCCGGCAGACAATGCAGTTGCCGTCACCCACGACGGCTGGTTCATCCCATTCGGTTGACGCACGTCACACAATGGCCCAGTTAGTAAATCCGTCCAGTGCGGCCAGTCGACGTGAACAAGAGACGACGGAGGAAGGAGCGCCACGCAGTCCCCGTGCGCCGGCGTCCGGCTCGTCGAGCGGAGCTCATTGGATGCAGGTGTACGCGGAGAACAGTCCGGCGTACGAGGGACGCTTGGCCGAATATGAGGTGGCCAGTGAGCTGGGGGATGGAGTGTACGGGACGGTGTTCCTGGCGCGGCATAAAGCTACACAGCAAACCGTGGCGATAAAACGGTACAATTCCGTTAGTTGACGTTTTCCGTACTTTTTGTGTTTTCTTCGTATGTTTTTCTACCTTTTTCCATAGCTAATTTTTTTACCATACGATATAATTACAGGATTCAGCATAAATAAAATTAAGATACGGAATTACAAATGTTACTGCTATTCTATATACGATGACGCGCGACCTATATATCGGTTTGATTTTCTCGTTACTTTTAACGGACTTCCAGTACTTAGTCTTTTATCGTGGGAATGTTAGCAGTGAATACTTTTTACAGAATGAAGAGCATGTATGCTTCATGGAAGGAAGTACTAAAAGAAATGGAAATAACGGTATGATACGGATGTTTTTGAATTAATGATCAGCTTATTGATACAGCTGGATTGTATTTGTTTTGAATCCGATTCTGATGTATTAGGAATTATACTGTTTAATAAGACCCTGTCAGCAAGTTGCACTTAACGGGCTTTATGTATTAATGATGTGCGTGTCGGTGCACACATTTACAGTGCGCTGATTTCCGCTTTGTAATAATTTGTAATGCAGCTTCTGCGTGCGAAAAAATTTCATAATACTGCATATTGCATTTCCTTGAAAAAATCATTCTGTTGATGGGAAGTTATTGTCACCAAAGACGACTATTTTCCCCGTATCGAGGTGTCTGAGCCTCGTTAACTTTCCCAACATAACACCGTCTCCGATTTCACAGCTCCAAGAATGCTTTGATGCCGACCTTTGCGTGATATTAAAACGCGACCATGCATGCATTATTCATCTGATTTTGACCTTATGACATTCTCATTAATGCAGATCGCCGGTGAGTTGCAACGTCATCCTAACATCGTCCACATGCTGGAAGCCTTTCGTGACAACCAGTCACAGCAGCTGTTCATGGTCTTCGAGCATATGGACTGCAATCTGTATCAGCTCATTAAAGACCGCTCAACCTCAGCACTGCCGGAGCACGCGTCATCCGGACATTTGTCCACGTTTGCCGGGATGAGTCAGCGGTCGCAGGATACGGTGTCGAAAGGGTTTTCCGAAAAGGAAATCCGGGCGATTGCTCAGCAGATCCTGCGCGGACTGCAGTATCTTCATGAGAAAGGTCTGTAAACTTAATATTCTTTAGCGCAGACGCTAATAAATCACTAATTTCGTCATTTTTATTCCCAATCTGGAAAACTTTAAAACGTGTATAACGATAATTATTCAGAAAGGTCAACAAGAGTTTGGTTGCGATCAGAAACTTCTTATTTAGCAAAAGAGTTAATGGTTGCAGGTATTACAGTTATTACGTATGTAGTATATTAAATCTGGAAAAACAGTGACCGTATACAACGATAGTAATATATAAAGGTCAACAGGGTTTGGTTACTAATCGACTTACGATCAAGACTTCCTTATCTACATAGCAAAGACGTCAATGCTGATGTTGCAACAATAATAACTTTGTATATTTTTAATTGCAGGGTACTTTCATCGGGATCTGAAACCAGAGAATATTCTATGCAAAGACGGAACCCATGTGATTAAGCTGGCCGATTTCGGACAGGCTCGGTCGATACGCTCGCGGCCGCCCTACTCGGAATACGTCTCAACTCGCTGGTAAATTTCAGTAAATAAATTACTGTTATTGATCTAGAGTGGGCAACAGTTGCACTGACATAACCTTCGGTGCAGGTATCGCGCTCCCGAATTGGTCCTGTCATCACCCATCTACAGTCTGGGTGTGGATATCTGGGCCGTTGGCTGCATCATTGCCGAAGTAGTGATGTTGCGCGCGCTTTTTGGTACGCCATTCTGATTTATCTTTCGTGACCTTTGACGAACGTGACACGGACATGGCAAGTCAGATTATTCATATGTTGGTGATTTACACAGATGGCAACAGCGCTGCTGACCAGCTGTTCAAGATTGTCAAAATTCTCGGCACTCCGTCAAAAGTACGTACGATTGCCGACGCCACCACCTTCTTTCTTTAGAAATAAATTGGAATTTGACGATTTTTTTTGCCTACAGGAGGAATGGCCACAGGGTATGCAGATGGCCGAGAAGATCAACATCGCGTTTCCCCAAGGATTCCAAAAACAGAACCTGGCGCAGCTCATCAAACCCTGCACTCCGGGTTGCATCCATCTGATCGCCGCTACTCTGCGCTATAATCCACAGAAACGCCCATCTGCGCGCATGGTACACGGAGCTTCCAGTTTAATGCCTCGAAAGCTTTAAGCATTTCAATGATTTGCAGTGTTTGGATATGGATTACCTTGCTCAAAGCTCAAGAACCGATCCCCATCGCGCCGGTTTCCCACGACCCAGCCAGCCCGGCTTAAAACGTGTACCAATCAGCGTCGTGCACAATGACCCACCACGTCCCGGTTACTCCCTACCGAAATCCATTTCCAGTAACGAGGGCTGGAACTTTGGAGCGGAAAGGTCAAATGGAGAAGCTATGCCGCCATTACTTTTGCCGTTACTTAAACCGTTCCAAGCACCGGGTACCGAACTAGTCCGCGCCCCGATTTTCGTCCCACCGGCTGTGGAACCATCCCCTTCGGGTTCTCCACTGAAGTCGGGAGGCCTTGGGCCGCAATTGCCCATGATGGCGCCGCAAAAACGTACCAGTCTAGACTCCGGGTCGCGGGTAGAAGTGGTCGAAGAGAAAACCGGTTTAAAGCGCGCTAACGCATTTGACAGCGGACCGACGTCGGGGCAATCCGCGTCGGCGAGCGAATATGGCAGTGTTGCGCAGGGAAGCGATCTGGACGCGTACGACCATTTTGAATTAGAACTGGGGTTTGGTCTGTCCAGTGTAGCCAGTTCCCGGGACTCGGCGAACTCAACCCGGAGATTGTCGCTGAACATTCCGCATTTCACCCCACCGGATGCGGCACGCGCCCCGTTTCTGGACCGATACAAGCCCCGAATGGAGATGGGTCCGCGCCCGCGATTGACTCCGATCCCGCCGCGGTTGCCGGTACCGGCGACCCGCCCCAGGAACCCGGTGCGTGATCCGCCGACGGTCTCAGCGAATTTGGCAAAGCAGCGCAGTTCCACCAATCAGCGAGCAACCGGTATGCGCAGCAGTGTAACACGATCCCCGAGTCAACCGAACTGGATCAGCGACGAATCGAGACCCGCGGTGGCGCCACCGGCACTCGTTCGTAAAGGTTCGGATACCGCGATCCCCCGGCCGAAGATGCTGACCCGCCGGGAGACGTTCTCCAGCGGTGCGACGACCTCGGCGGCGTTCGTGGCGCCGGTCCCAGACCGAACTGGACCGACGGGAGTTCGGCCGCGGTTGCGACTAGCGCCGCCGAGTGCGGGTATTCCGCAACTGCCTGGCCAGAGTGGGAGCCGCAGCGTTAATGGAAGTACCCGCATGCCGAGTGAAGCGACGACAGCCGTGAACGAGCCGAAGAAGACTGGACAACGTCGCAGTCCGGTTACCAAACAATCACCGAACAATACATGGTGGAGCTAAACTATGGTTTTTTCCCCGAGTTTTTCAATTTTGTACAGCTTATGCTTTCCCCCAACCCGTGATGTTAATAGTGCGATCCGCCCACGACCGGTAATTATATGTACTTGGCAAACAAGAAGCTTAATTTATTGTGTACATAACTAGTATAGGTCTCAGCAGCCCTAAGGGCAAGCAAGCGAGCGACATGTAGACATTTTTTTCAAAAACAAAGATAGCATGAAGGATGGCTCCCATATTGCAGCTGTGTGTAGGCTTAGTTGTTCAAGCCCCTAGTACTTATTTTTTGTTTAATTCGGCAAATAAGCAAAAGAAATGGCGTACGAGGCAACGTGCAAAATTAATAGTGTGTTAATTTTTGAACCAAACAACACTGTATGATGATTCCTACAGACATTTCATTGTAGGTTTTTAGTGTTAGTGCAAGTAATGACTTGTCTCAAAATTATTTTCTTGAAGAGTAATATTTCCCGTGGTATATAATAATATTATGACAACATTTAATACGACTGCAAGCCTGTTACTTTGCGGGAAATTATAATATAGCACCGATATGTCGGAGATATACCGACAGCACTAAAATTCTTTGTTTTATTCGAAAACTAACTGCTATCGATAAACATGATTATTTAATGTTTTCTCAGTTTTTAATTCGTTGTTTCTCGATAAAAACAAATCAGCAGAACATACGAGTATTACGGATGATTAAGAATCAAGATGCCACCCCCAATGTGGAGAAGTGCTGAAAGTAGGGCAAAGATTTGTAAAATTGTTGTACATAATGTTGAATGTGGAATAACGCAAATATTATCATTATCATTTCATCAAACAACCTTAATTACTACCATGACGTCAAACCTCAACGATGTAAGCAACTGGGAGGCCCTGTATCTGTACGGTCGAGTTAACTTGGCATTTGTTTCGTACGGCGAGTTGCATGCGATTTAAATAGGATATAACTCGATGTACGAAATTGTGATGCCCAGTGAGTCGACAAAAAAATGCCTGAAAATCTTTCTCGAATTCCCCGAAAGAAGGGTTTGCATCCTTCGGGTATTCGAAATTTTGGAGAGATGGGAATACATGTGTCAATGATCACGCCTTCTGATTGCCCCTTCCATTTGACATTATCCTTAACATTGACCTTTTGCACATGGTTTTAAATTCATAATAATTTAACAACAGTATAAAACAATAATGATTTAATGTCGGAATATGCAAATAATATTACGTTCACATAATATTAGACATCATAATTATTAATTCAGAAAGGATGCCTATAATAAACATTCTTCGCCACACCGCACTGAACGAACTGATTCGGAGAAGTTTGGTCACCGCTAAAACGCCGGCTGTACTAGAGCCGCTTGGAACAAGTGACGAAGACGATCGCCGTCCGGACGGTGTGTCGCAAATGCCTTGGAAGAACGGTTTACGGCTAGCCTGGGACGTGACGTGTGTGGATACCGTCGCATTTTCAAACGTCATTAGCAGCAGCGTTAAGGCTGGAGAAGCGGCCCGAAAAGCAGAAGACGAAAAGCGGCGGAAATATGAATATTTAGCACCTGAGTACTATTTTGTTGCATTGGCTTTTGAAACTTTTGGCGTCGCTAGCCCTTCCTGTATTAAGTTTTGCGAGAATTGGGCAGGCGGTTAAAGGATGCTACGGGAGAACGACGCTCTTACGAGTTTCTGCTACAGCGTATTAGCATTGAAATACAGCGGTGGAATGCGCTGTCTGTGACTTCAACCGTACCGCGTTCTGATGGTTTTAACGCTGTTTACTTTGTTTTATAATGTTGATGTTCAAACGTCTGAACGATAAGCAAACCAATAAATTCTTCACGTATAAACATTCTCCGAAAAAGGGTGCCTATAATAAATAAGAGTTTTAGGGGTTGCTTTAAAACGGTTTCCTTAAAGATATTCGGACATATTCAGAAATAAATTGAGAAATTTCAGAAATACATATTTAAAATATCTAGGATACATTCAGAAATACTTACAAATATTCAGAAATATTCAAAAGAATTTAGCAAAGTTTAGAAACATGTGGAATTTGTTGGTAGTATTTTTAGAAAAATTTAGAATTATTTCTAGAAACATTTTAGAATTATAAATAGAAATATTTGGAATCTTGAATAATATATTTGGAAATATTTAGGAACAATCAAAAGAATTAAGCAGTTTCAAAAAAAATTTTCGAAAATACTTAAAAAGTTATGTTAAAACGTTTAAAAATATTTAAGAATATTCAGAAATAAATCAAGAAATATTTCCAAATAAAGGTATTTAGAAATATATTAAGAAATACTAAGAAAATTTATAAATATTTGTAAATGTAATTAAAACTATTTAAAAACGTTGATAAATATATCTAAAAAATTTATAAGAATTTAGCAATATTTGAAAATGTGTAGAAATATTTTTGAAATATTTCTAGAATATTTTCAGAAATTTTTTTAGTAACTTTTAGAAATACATTCAAAAATTTTGGAAATCTTTGCGAATATATTAAGAAATTTTAAATGCAATTTAAATAAATTTAGCAACATTTAGAAATATTTAAATTATTTTCACTGACATTTTTTAAATATATTTGGAAATATTTTTAGAAATGTACGAATTTGGAAATATTCTTAAAATTCTTTGAAATGCAGAAATGTGTTTAAAAATACTTATCAAAGTATTCTGAAATAATTTGAAAAATCAAGAACACTTAGAAATGTTTAATTTGTTTTCCTAATTTGTTTTTGAAAATATTCCGCGATATTTGAAAACCTTTTAGTTAGATTCAGAAATTTATTTAAAGAAATTCTAAGAATATCCAAAAAATACTTTGAGTAATATTTCAAGATAATCACGAGTAATAAAGAAAATTTTAAAATATCTTATTTATTTTCAAATTTTTTAAGATTTTGGTTGTAGTTAAAATTAATTAGAAAAACACAATTAGCCATTTTTAGAAATACTCGTTGAATCTTTTAAAATATTTGTTAAGCATTGCTTGAATAATTCAAATGTGTTTATACAAAACAGATAAAATTATTCTAAAACTTTTTAAAATTATTATAAGCACTGCATAAGCTACATACGATTTCTGTAAAAGAAGCATATTGAAGTCGTTGATTATCCTTTTCGTACATCAAAACTCTTTTACAAACCAACCCGGATACGTTGATTAGACTCAACACATTGAACTGCACCAGAAAGGTGCAAAATCCCGATGGCGACCTCGGGAAACCGGAGACCTCGAACCTGGGTACTTCGGTTAGACTCGCCACATTAAATTTGGCCAGAAAAGCGCAAAATCCCGGTGGCTACCTCGGAGAACCGGAGACCTCGAACCTGGGTACTTCGGTTAGACTCGCCACATTAAACTTGGCCAGAAAAGCGCAAAATCCCGGTGGCGACCTCGGAGAACCCGAGACCTCGAACCCGGGTACTTCGGTTAGACTCGCCACATTAAACTGTACCAGAAAAGTGCAAAATCCCGGTGGCGACCTCGGGGACCCAGCGACCTCGAACCCGGGTTCTTGGGTTCCTCAATGTCATTCGACTCAGCGTGTCGAGTTGTGTAGGTTAGCACCAAAAACTTAGTGGCGAACCCAGGAACCCGGGTTCGAGGTCTCCGTGTCACAGGAAACTCAAATCTCATCTATAATAACGCAAGCTCGCTTCGCTCGCTTGCTTGATTACTTTTGCCGCCTAATTAACTGCTGAGTAGAGATCTTCTTGATGTTCTTCAGATCATGTGTATTTATGAACACATTATCAAACATCGTAGAACAGATTTGACGGTATGGGTCGCAATAGATTTCGCGTTTATGGTAAAAAAATTTTCTGCTTAAACGATATTGGCTCCCGACACTGCGGACAAACATCTAGAGATTGTGCGCACTGGAAACACGTGACATGTCCACAGGGAATAAAGACGCAATCCCATGCCGCATCGCAGCATATATTGCAGGTGCCATTGCCTGTATCACGATCCGATTGTCTCCCTAGAGAAAATATTATCTCTTGATTCGGGAACGGGCTGTACGCAGTCAGATTAACGGCTACTAACAAAGTCTCTGAAATTCGGCATACGACCTACGTTGGCTATGGGCGAAAGCGAAGGCATCCGGCGCTTTTCTTTCCAGATAAGTTAGAGCTCGTTCGCGTAGAGGTCCGTCGGGGAACGCATAAAAGTACTCCACGATAATTGGCCACGCAACAATGTCTACACAAAAATGAATTCGCAGTTGATCGAGGTATTTCATCACCTAATAAAAACTGCTTGTCACCTTCCGCATATTCAGGCAGCGTTTGCAGCAGGTGTTCGCCAAAACTGATCGAGCTCGATGGAAACCGAGCTATTACTCTGATGGCGTTTACTAAAAGGTTCCTTTCAATGCAGTTGTGAATAATGGCACGCCAAAAGTCACTTGGTACCGGAACCGATTGAGAGACCACCGTGCTGATCACGTCTTCCAAGAAGACATCAGAAAGATGCCTGCAAAGGTTACTTAATCTTATTTGCGATGCGGGAAGTATCCATGTTTGAAAATTAGTATTTACTTTGAGAATTGTGCAAAATAACATCGTCCATTTTCGGAATTAACGAGACTGACAGTTACACGCGTGGAAAAGTCGGGATCCATTTCCTGGATAGCTTGGACTTTTTGCAGCCACTCGAATAACGTTGGCCATCTGCCACAAAACAACTCTTTTAATTTTTAAAACGTTTTATATTAAACGGATTTTTCATTGGTACCTTTCCATGCTGAGCAGCAATTCTGCAATGTGCACATTCAGATCTTCATTAGTCCGCGGTATGATTTGTTGCAGCAGTTGAAATTCACGGTCCACAGTTGCGCCAATCAGAGCACGTAGAAGGAGGACGATATGGTCACTTTGCTACAAATCCGCAACTTCAGGCTACGTGATTAATATGAACATGGCTTATAGCCATGACCTTACATTTATTAGGGAAATAAGATGATCATCTGCATTCTGCTTTAGAAGAGCTTGAACAAGGCTCTCATACAGGAGATCTCGAGACTGGCATTCCACAAACAACGCATGATCAGCTGGTAAATTATCCAGGAATTGGAGCTCAATGAGTTTCGGGTTTATTGTGCACATTTTCTGGAGGATTTTATGCATAAGATCCATCAGGTTAAAGGAGTTTGCCAGCTAAAAGAAGATGTCAGGATTGTTGTTTTTGAAATTGCGGCCGTATTAATTGTCCTTTTGATAACGATGTTGGGCTAACCGTAAAGCATCTCTGCAGCATCTTATCCACAGAAATCACCCGAATGTCGCTGGCGCAAAATAAGGAGATCACGATCTGCACACCTATCATAAATTCAACAACTATTTCATTTTGCGTTTAGAAACTATCATACTGTAATACGTATTTATCGGAAAATACCAGAAGCGCATTTGAATTTAGCTAACATATCCAGTAACGCTTCACAATCAACGTGCCGCATCAGCGACGGTTGAAGCACTCTTTCCCAATCGACAATTTTGTGGTAGTATTGCAGCAGCACTTGCAGAACTTCCATACAGGACTTTGGGACAATATCCATGGCTGTCGACAGCAAGTGAAAATCCTGGGCATCCACCACATCCGGCAGCGCCTGTAGGAGCAAGCTGGAGGTAATGGTCAGCTGGAAGGCCACGCTGGTTTTCAGTGCGGTATACGAATCGTCTATTTCCAGTGCCGATTGACAAAGGTCTGCAGCCGCGATGCGCAAAGCGTAAATCTGTGATAGGTTCAAAAGAAATGCTCAAAGGATCTCTGGATGCGTTGCTGGCAAGAGAAAACATGCCAAATTTCTTGTAAGACCGATCGGTTATGGGAACCAGTCGTTAATTATTGTTTTTCGCTGATAAAGCGTTCAAAGCCGAAATCAGAACCTGTTTATTGGTATCCGCAATTAACAACGTTTGATGAACTCCGTTGCCTCCCCGGTCGGAGATTCCGCTGTTAAGGTATCGCTCCAAGACGCCGTTACTGACTCGGGATGTGTGAAGAAGTCTGCCGTTTGATGCGGTAAAAAGTAAGACCGAGCGACGCGTTAGCACAATGAGTAAACCGCACAAGGAAAGACTCTACAACCATACATGTTGGAACATTATTCCTAATGCGGTTAAATTGGTTTTCTTTCCTGCCTACATGTAATGCAAGGGGCTCATCCTCGCCTTCTAACGTAATCACTTCCACCCACACCGTCCGATCCTGAACATCACCGGCCGCCAACAAGGCATACCGGGTAATTATATAATATTCGCTGGCTACACCTGTCTTGTTGATGGTTATTAGATCAGATTCCACCGTGTTGTCAACTAGCGCAGATAACAAAATGTCTTCTGCAATCGGTGCATCGGCTAACAACTTAATTTTTTCCAGCACGTCACGAATCATTCCACTGACCTGAAAAAATCGCGTAGAATATCTTAAAGCTTAATAAGACATGATAGAAAGGTTACGGAAAACGGAATGAAAGAAAGAAAGCAAGCTTAAGGCATAGTGGAAAGCTTACGTTGCTGGCGTTTTTCTTGCAAGCTGTGGCGTACTGCCACACTGGAGACCTTTGAGAAATCGGATACGGCATCAGTACATCACAGTCTTCTTTGATGTCCAGGAAGATTATGTGGCTGTCGAGTGCGTATGCTAAACAATCGTCGGAAATCCATTGGAACCACTTCGCAAACTGACCTTTCCGGACAATACCATTCGGCAGATCGCTGAACTTACCACCGATGCGAATCCCATTACTATCTACGTACAAAAAACATTACTAAGGTGTCGGTCATGGGAAAACAATTACTCACCGGCGATAAGAAGCATATTCGTGGGAAGATTCGGCAAACACTGTTCAACACCGTCGCTTTCCGAAAAATGTTCGGTCCACACTTTCCTCGCTTCCAGAGACTTGTTCACAGCGTAAACGTCGCAAATAATGCACAGCCCGCTTACGCAGATAAAATTCGGTGTCAAAAACTGCAAACTGGAAATATGTCCGGCTTGGTGGGGACTAACCTGTTGGAACTAATCAAAACAAAAAATAACCTTTCTAACATTTTCTTGTGAATAATAGTTATGACATAGGTATCCGTATGTGTATATAGGTATACTGAAGTATAGGTATGTGTAGCAAGAATAATACCGAGCATATGGGTTCGAATGTGGTAATACTTTTTCCCATTGGAATCTTCGCTGATTCCACTAAATCTGACTCTGTCTTAACCGAGAAACTCCAGTTCGGAGTGGTATTGTAAGATTCGTCAATTGCAACGGGAACGATGTAATCCACTTCTTCAGCCCCAAAAGGCTGTGTAGACAAACCGATTTCTGGTTGGTCAACACACTGGCACAATCTCTCGAAATACTCTTCTTCGCAGTGGTGGGCTGAATCAAACGCTCTGGAGACCTTCCGATTGATCAGGAACTGTGCAAGGGATCTCGGAGAAAACATGACCTTTTTGGTGGTTATGCTATAATCCAGGAGGATAGCGTTAAGATACTCCAACTGCTTAACGTACGCTTTGCGCCAGTGATACCGGATTTCGTGCCGCTCAATTTGCAAATTGAAGTCTTTCGCACTCTTATTTGAGGAGTAGTTTCTTGTAGTCTGCTTATTAATATGCATCCGATAACTTGTTTCTTCCGTATATAAAAACTTCATCACGATTTGTACGCAATGCCATCGTACACGTTCGATAAGGCACTGCTGATTTTGCAGATTTCCCAGTTTCTCCAAACACCATTTTAATACAACCTTTAAGAAATCCACAATCCCGATTGGCACTACGTTCTTATACACAATAGTAGAATGTTTTCCATTAAATCGCATAACCGAAATTTCGATTGATGTGGAATCTAGATGCACGATGACGAGATCAGTCTTCAGATCAATAATTTTCTGCATAATCGGCGGCAACGTTGGTGCTAACGGAATAACCCGAACGCTACGAAAGTGTCCCATCTTCGCCGCACTGACAAACACTTTATCCACGCTCGGATTCGGATACGACGACAGCGCCACATACAATGTGGTGATCTTCATCCGCGTTTGTGCGTTCGCTAAGTGTTTAATTTCCGTTAACATATCGCGTACGACACGCACCACATCGCTGGTTCCTGTGGTGAATTTCCATCCAGCCAGGTGCAATCCGGATTTGATGGTGTCGCACTCTTGAACATACTTTCCTAAAAATATCTTGGGAAACATTAAACATCCTTTGGGATTGTCGATGTACTTGTTCAGCGCATCCGTGCCGAATGTCACCCAGATATTGGGAGGTTGGTTCGCTACGCTCTTGTTATCATAATGAATAAACGCTGGGATGTCGGCGGATCCGCTGCTGTCCGTGATTCTGCGCGGTCCGCTGCTGGAAATAACCGCAGCTTTAATGAAGAATGCACCGAATTCCACGCATAAAACTGGATCCATTATTACATCGCAATTAATGATACCAACTTCTTATTAGTTCAGCCAGTTTCAACATGAAAATTAAGCGGCTGAATTTGATTATTGATCAGGCAGGGAAAAAATTTGGTTCTCTGCAGTCACAAGTAGTAATAATGAGAGGACTAAATTCGTTACGGGCATGCAATCAGTGTAACCGAGTCGTTGATCCTGTGCTTTGCAGAACTGATATTACGCAGGCTTGTAGTGTGATTCATATTTCATATCGCATTAGTAGTCCAGTTTTATTAACACGTTGCAATAATTTCTGAGATTGTCGCCCTTGTACAGTGCCTGCCTAGCCCACATCTGTTTTTAAACAGTACCGATAAGAAAAATGTCAGATTGTGATTATAAAGAGCAGGAAGGTTGTGGCAGTGCAGCGCACAAAGCGCTCTTTGTGTGCATTTTATCTTATCCATTCTAGCGATGCTAGTATGATTGATGTACAGGCGTACAATTGTACAGCTACCGGTATATCCAAGGGAAAACCGTACGTACAGATACAGTAAAAGTTTATGTGCTTGATTTTAAACTAGCTGTCAATTTTAATTGATTGACTTTAAACTATTTAAAGTATGGATAGTTATTCGGGACATAACGCCAGGAATGATAGTGCGGACCACCAACACTGTTCTGTGTACTGCGTCGCATTGTTTTTTAACCAGTGTAGACAAGATAACCAACGGAAAATATACTGGCCTACTAATTGTTGATTAAACGTTGCAAAACAATATTATAATTACACCGAAATAAAAACAGGGGGAATGCAGATAATTTAAAAAATGAGAGAAGAGTATCCCGGGAGGAATCATCATACATACATATCATGTTACTCTGTAATGAATTAGAACTCGTAGCTGTAAAGATCTTGTAAATCTTGATGCAAAAATAATCATGTGGTAAGAGATCCCTGGAGTATGTTGTTAGGAATCTTTGCACATATCCGTAATATCTCCAAGTCATTCCTCGTAACCGCAGATGCGATCGAGGATACGCAGTGGATTTGTCGCGCAATCCGAAAGACTCGCCTGCTAGTTGAGTAGAGCGCTCATTGACTCGTATCTTGTGAGTTTCGGCTGGAACATTATGGGGTACTGGGCAATTACTGGGCCCTTCTTTTGCGCTCCATTTAGGCCATTTCCCGAAGCCGGTATCACTCAACGGTCCTAAGACCCACAAGGGATGATCGTTCCCAGGAACTTTCCCGTATCAGAATAAGTCGCTCAGCTGGATTGAATCCCTCGGATATGAGCTGTTCACTTTAAGGAGCTTGACTAACACCGATAGTGGCCTAGAGAAGAAGTCACAAAAAGATAAACAACAGTAAACAATAATGCCCAAATAGGGGACGACCTGACAGCGGGAAACGAGCGCATACGAGTTACGCATTCATCCGAAAAGGTTTTTTTTTTGTAGACCTATCCTTCGGGGTAAGATCGGTGTGACTTTGCAATATTTGTTAAAGCATCGCTCACAAAAAACCTTCAAATGAGAAACTTGACCCAGTTACCACATTTGGGTCGCGCCCGTGGTCTGACTCCGGTTCCGCCGCGGTTGCCGATGCCGGCGGCCCGCCCCAAGAACCCAGTACGCCGTTTGCCAACGGTTCCGGTGGATTTGGTAAAGCAGAGCAACTCAACCAGTCAGCGAGCGGCCAGTATGCGGAGTAGTGTAACACGATATCCGAGTCAAATAAACTGGATCAACAGCGACTCACACCCGATAGCGTCACCGGCGCTGGTTCGCAAAGGTTCGGATACAGCCATTTCCTGGCCGAAGATGCTGGCCCGCCGGGAGCGTTCACCGGCAGGGCGACGACCTCAACGGCACTGGTGGCACCGGCGCCACACCGCACCGGTCCGACGGGGGTTCGTCCGTGGTTCCAATTGGCGCCGCCAAGTGCGGGTGCTCCACAACTGCCGGATCAGAGTGGGGGTCGCAGTGGTAATGAAAGTACCCGGATGCCGGGTGAAGAGGCGACACCGGTGAACGAGTCGAAGGAGTCGAGACAACGTTGCAGTCCGGTTACTAAACAACCGCCGAACAATATACATATGGTGGAGCTAAACTATGTTTTTCTTTGAATTTCTCAATTTTGTACAGCTTATGCTCTCCCCAACCCGTGATGTTAAAAGTGCGATCCGCCCACGACCATTTTATATAGCAAGCGGAAATTAACTTAGTTAGTAAGTACTTTGCAGCCTAATTTATTACTAGTGATGTTCTTGATGTTCTTCAGATCATGTTTACGTATTCAGGAACAAATTATCAAATATCGTAGTACAAAATTGACGGTATGGGTCGCAATAGATTTGCAGTTTATGGTAAAAAAATTTTATGCTTGGACGTTATTGGCTGTCGGCACTGCGGACAAACATTCAGAGATTGTGCGCACTGTAAACACGTGACATGTCCACAGGGAATAAAGGCGCAATCGCAGGCGGCGTCGAAGCAAATATTGCAGATGCCTTTTCCTGTATCACGATCCGATTGTCTCCCTGCAGGAAAATTCATCTTAATTCTGAAAACCTATTAATAGGAGTTTTATCTAAATATGCAGTAAGCTTACAGAGCCTTTGAAAATCAGCATACGATCCACGTTTGCTGTGGGCGAAAGCTAAGGCATCCGGCGCTTTTCTTTCCAAATACATTAGGGCACGTTTGCGGAGGGGTCCGTGGGGAAACGCGTCAAAGTATTCCACGATAATCGGCCACGGAATGCTTTCTACACAAAAATTAATCCCAAATATCAATTCCGGTGCGTTGCGCATGCGCCTAATAAAGACCTCGGGTCACCTTCGGAATACTCCGGCAACTTTTGCAGTAGTTGCTCGGCAAAGCTGGTAGCTGCCGCTGGAAACCGGTTTATTACGCTGACGACCTTTTCCAAAAGGTTTCGGTCAAGGCAGTTTTGAATTATGGCACGCCAAAGGTCACTTGGCACTGGCACTGTTTGGCAGATCACTGCGCCGATCACTTCTTCCAAGGAGAAATCAGGAAAATGCCTGCAATAGGCATTCCTTACAATTATGCAAGAAAAACGCATACAGTTTTGAAATACGGAAGGATTACTTCGAGAATTGTGCGAAGTAGAATCGTCCATTTTCAGAATTCACGAGGCTAACAGCCACTGGCGTATGGAAGTCGGGATCGATTGTTTGGTTCACTTGAATTTTGTGCAGCCACTCGATCAACATTGCCCATCTGACAAAAATATGTAGCCAAAATCAAAATGTTGAAGAAATGTTTGACACTTTGATCGGGTACATACCTTTCCGTGCTAAGCAGTAATTCCGCAATGTACATATTCAGCTTCTCATTCGTCCGCGGCGTGATTTGTCGCAGCAGTTCTAATTCACGGTCCACCGCTGCGCCAAGCAGCGCACGAAGGAGGATGACGACATAGTCACTTTGCTAAAAATCCGTAAATTTGCTTTTTGCGAACAACAATATCCAGGCTAAGCGTGACCTTACATTTATCACGGAAATAAGATGATCGTCTTCGTTGTGCTCTAGCAAAGCTTGAACCAGGCTGCCATACAGGACCTCTCGAGATTGGCACTCCACAAACAACGCATGATCAGCTGGCAAATTATCCAGAAATCGGAGATCAATGAGTTTAGGGTTGATCGTGCACATTTTCTGGACGATTTTATACATAATTTCAGCCAGGTTAAATGAACCAGCCAACTACAAATTGATTTTCCTTAGAAATTCGGTAATAGTGTTTTTTTATAAGGTTGGTAACAAACCGTTAAGCACCTCTGCAGCATCTCATCCAGAGACTTCGCATGAATGTCGCTGGCGCAAAGAAACGAAATCACGATTTTAACACCTATAAATATTTAGTAACGAATTTTTTAATGTTTTCAAAACCTGTTGCAGTTGTTTTTATCGAAATTTAATTACCGGCAGCGCATTTAAATTCAGCCAGCGTATCCAATAGCGCAGCACAATCAACGTGCCGCATCAGTGGCGGTTGGAGAACTCGTTCCCAGTCCACAATTTTGGGGTAGTATTGTAGCAGCGCTTGAATGACATCCATACTGGACTCTGGAACGATGTCCATGGCTGTGGACAGGAGGTTGAAATCTTGCGCATCCGCCACCTCGGGTAGCGCTTGCAGGAGCAGGCTGAAAGAGATGGGTAACCGGAAAGCCATGCTGATTTTCAGTGTGTAATAAGATTCGTCCATTTCCAGTGCGCATTGAGAAAGCTCGTCGACAGCGATGCGCAAAGCGTAAATCTGTGAAGGGTAAAGAACAGGTTGACCTTTAGGCCTCGTGATGTGTGACCATTGGCCAGCTAAGAAATAACAGCTATCGTCCAAAGACGGATCGGTTAAGTGAACCAGCTACTAATTACTGCGGTTCGCTGATAAATTGTTAAAGCAGAAATCAGAACCTGTGCACTGGTATCCGCAATTAACAATGTTTGATGGGCTCCGTTGCCGGAAATTCCGCTCTTTTGGTATCGCTCCAAGACGCTGTTACTGACTCTTGATGTGTGAAGAAGTCTGCCGTTAGATGCAGTAAAGAGAAAGACTGAGCGGCGCGTTATCACAACAAGGAGCTCGTACATGGAAAGGCTCTAAAACGAGTGCAACACGACGCACGTTAAAAAATTATTCACAAAAACAGAAACAACAAGGATTTCTTGCATGCCTACATGTAAAGCAAGGGGTTCGTCCTCGTCTTCTAACGTAAACACATCAACCCACACCGTCCGATCCTGGACATCATCTGCCGTCATCCACGAATATCGGGTGATTATGTATTCGTTGGCTGCAACTGTCTTGTTGATCGTTACCAGATCAGACTCAACTGTGTTGTTCACCAGAGTAGACAATAAAATATCCTCTACATCGGTTACCAGCTCAGTTTTTTTCAGAAGATCCCGAAACATCATAGCAACCTGCAGAATTTGCACAGTTATAGCTACCGATTAAGGAACCGAAGAAAGTTAGACACATTACAAATCTCACATCATTGTCGCTCTTCCTATCAGCTGTTACATATAGCCACAGAAGTGACCTTTGAGAACGAGGATACTGCAGCTGCAACACCGATGCATCGCAGTCTTGGGTGATGTTAAGGAGTGTTATTTCGTCCTCTCGTGCGTACGCTAAATAGCCACCGGCAATCCACTGGAACCATGTAGCAAATTGACCTCTGCGGACAATACAAGTCATTTGCGTGCCGTCCGTACTTTTGATGCAAAATCCATCGCTCTCTGTGCAGTTAACCACTGGTTCATTGAAAAGAATATGGTCAGTCAACGAAAAAGAGTTTCTTACTGGCGAGAAGGTACAAATTCTCGGGAAGATTCGGCAGACAAAGTAGAACACCGTCACTTTCCGTGACAGAAATGGACCATACTTTCTCTAGTTGCAGAGACTCACTCACAGCGTAAACGTCGCAGGCAGTGCACACTCCGCTTTCCGTTGTATTTTGTGCGCAGATAAAATTCGGCGTCAAAAATTGCAGACGGGAAATATGTCCGGTTCGGTTTGGAATCTCTAGTTGTACCTATTTAATCAAAACAAGCAAACTTTTTCACAAGGTTATGTAGCTATGTACGGTAAGTTCGTATTGTATGTGCGTAGTAGTAAGTATACCGAGCATATGTGTTCAAATGTGATAACACTTCTTCCGCTTGGAATCTTCGCTGATTCGAATAAATCTGATTCCGTAATGACCGCGAAAGTCCAATTTGGTGTGAGGTCGTCAGCTTCGTCGACTGCAACGGGAACGATGTATTCCACTTCGTCCTCCCCAAAAGACTTGCTAGGCGAACCAATTTCTGGTGAGCCAACGCATTGGCACAGTTTCTCGAAGTACCATTCACAGTGGTGGACTGTCTCAAATGCTTTGGATACCTTCAGATTAGGCAGAAGCTGTGCAAGGGCCCCCGGATTAAATATGACTTTTTTGGTGGTCATACTGTATTCCAAAAGTATATCACTAAGGTACTCGAAATGTTTAGCATACGCTTTGCGCCACAGATCACGGATTCCCTGTCGCTCAATTCGCAAGCTGAAATCCTTAGCACTTTTGTTCAAAGAGCAGCTTCTTATAAACTGCTTGCCAATATGAAGAAGATAGCTTGTTTCTTCCGTGTATAAAAACGTTTTCACGATTTGTACGCAGTGCCATCGTATGCGTTCAATAAGACTCTGTTCGTTTTGGTGATTTCCCAATTTTTCCAAACACCACTTCAACACAACCCTTAAGAAAGCCACAACTCCGATAGGTATAATGTTTTTGGACACGATAACAGGATGCTTTCCATCGAAACGCACAGCCGAAACTTCGATCGCAGTGGCTTCTAAATGCACGATGACGAGATCAGTCTTCAGGTCAAAAACTTTCTCGATAAGCAGAGGCAAAGTCGCCGCTAATGGAATAACTCGAACGTTGAGAAAATGCGCCATCTCCGCCGCACGGACAAACATTTTATCCACGATCAAATTTGGCTGCGATGACAACATCAAGTACAATGTTGTGATCTTCCTTCGTGTCTGTATTTCCGTCAGGTATTTAATTTCCGTTAACATATCGCGTACAACACGCAGCACATCGCTGGTTCCTGTGGTGAATTTCCATCCGGCAAGATGCAATTCGGATTTGATGGTTTGGCATTCCTGAACATATTTTCCTAAAAATATCTTGGGGAACATTAATCCACCTTTTGGATTGTCCATGTACTTGTTCAACGCATCCGTTCCAAACGTTACCCAAATATTTGGAGGTTGGCTCGCTTCGCTCTTATTCTCATAATGAATAAACGCTGGGATGTCAACCGATCCGCTGCTGTCTGTGATTCTGTGGAATCCACTGCTGGATATAACCGCGGCTTTAATGAAGAATGCACCGAATTCCACGCATAAAACTGGATCCATTATTACACTGCAATCCAGGTAAAGTCAGTTTTTATTAGTTTCGACAGTTTTAGAATTGGACGACCGTATTTGATTATTGATGAGACAGAAAAATCATCAGAAAATTTCAAAATGTGATTTTTTACAGTAGAAGCGTGTGGATTGTGATTGAACTGAGACTTGCAGTTGCGAGCGTGTACGAGTACCGCGTCGTTGAATTGTTGTGTGCTTGCAGTGCCTTGCAGAACCGGTATCATGCATGTTTGTAGTGTGATTCATATTCCACTAATAAATGCAGTTTTATAGCACGTATCTGTGTTAACCATAGTCATTTACGAGATTGCCATACCTGTATGCCCGCTTAGCCTACATCGGTGTTTGATCAGCGGCGATAAGAAAAATGTCAGATTGTGATTGTAAAGAGCAGGAAGGTATGAGAAGCAGCACTGAACAAGACAAAGCGCACTTTGTGTGTATTTATCTTATCTATTCTCGCGATACGAATACCATGTACTATTTGTATAGGCCGTACGTACAATAACAGCTTAAGTGCCTTTAATTTTAAGCTAGCTGTTAATCATCATAATATTTTTGGATGCAAGAATGATTAATGTGGCGGATGCCCTCAAACGTAATTTAAAAGATGATTATTTATTTGCCAGTGAGGTGCTGCTTCTAATTTCTAGATCATCATTCCATCATTCAGTATTGCTTATGAAAAAATCGCATTCGGGTTTACCTAGTAGCTACGAGTACTAAGCTAAGGCGTTGCTTCACTACGCGTCGTACGCGATAGTGCCGATCAGCGACGATCACCAACAAACACCGATCTGTGTTGATGATCTTGGTTTCTTTAACTTGTAAGCAGTGTAGACTGTAGCCCAAAAACGGAATATAAAATGACTGGATAATTGTTGACTAACTATGATGTTAGTGAACTAACATACGTAATTGTAGATACAGTATCTTGTGAATCTTAATGCAGCAAATAGTACAGTATTTATTAAATGATCTCCGTAGTATATATGTGATAAAAGACCTCTGACGTATGTAGTGATCACTCATCGGCTCGTTTCTTGTGGGACTTCAGTGGGGACAATATTATACATCGGTTAGTATGCCCCGTCTTTTACGTTCCACTTCTACCATTTCCCGAATCAGATATCGGTTAGCAGCCCTGATTCCAAACAGGGGCGGCTGTTCCCAATCCCGTTCCCGTACAGAGAGCAGCCGCTCGGCTGGATCGAATCCAGCGGAGATGAGAATATCCTGTTCCTTGCTATTAAGCTTTAAGCAGTTGATTAAAACCGACAGTGGGCCAGAGAAGAAGTCCTGAAAATAAGAAACAGTAACCAACAACGAGCAAATAAAGAGCGATCTGACAACAATAAACGAGTGTATACGAACTACGCATTCACAAGTAAAAACCTTCAAAACTTTCTTCTAAAGAAAGTCTAAAAGCTTTTATCCTGGTAGGTTTTACCTGCCAGCAAACTTCCAGTGCCGGGTAGCAACTGCCCGTTGCAGGCGCCACTGCCACCTTTTACAGCCTGCCGTGATTTATGTTAGTAGAAATACCTCGTTAAGAAGTACTGTGCTGTTTTCCACAGCCAGCCATTCCATAATCCGGTTTTGCACTTCGCGCGGATCCTTCAAGATTCCTGCCAGTTCTTTGCAGAGTTTCCTAACACAAATAGCTTGAGCACAGAATAAAATCGACAGTAAGTATTTTTGCGAGATGTCACGTATGTACGATGACCACCTATTGCAACACTTGATTAGGATATCAAATTAGCAACTGTACGGGAAACGTGTACCTTCAATAATATTACTGAGAGACCGAACAAGCGTTTAGTACCATAAATCGATAGCCGTGCCCGTGCTTCAACGGTGCTTGTGCAACATGGCTAGATGACTAACGTCTACAGCGATGCTTAAATGCAATAAAATTGTAATTAATCTCAGCAGCAAATTTTACATATATTTGAACCATTAAATTAAATTACATAAATACGTCAAGAAATATGTACTTATAAAAGCTGATCTAAAAATGAATAACATCAAAATAGCGCATAGTCGCGCTCAACGGCAGTTATTCACATTTTGCACAAATACTTTCGCACCTTGGAGGTTGTTAGCGTGTCCATGTACATGGCTACCGACCGATGGTAATGATAACTCCTGAATTGTCAATTCAAGGTACCTCTCGTACCTAATGTTATAAGTTTTCCTGTGGACGCAGATGTCAGTCAAGACCTCACCTGAGAGCCGGCAAACTAAGAGAATACTTCATATTTAATTCGTAGTTCTTTACATATTACAATTTTTAAAATACATAGACTACGAAACGTTTGTAGTAGATGGCTTAAGACCTCAAAGTTTGTGAAGTTCTGTATTCTAAAGCCATAGCGGCTTTCGCCTTCCTGAAGGTTAGCAGAATACCTCTTGACAGGTTGGAATTGGCCTCGACTACGTAATTTGAGCAAACATCCCGAAATATGCAGAAAATTCTTTCAAAATTGGGCGTTACTGCTTCCCAAGCCGTTAAGGTAGATGAACGAGGCGAAATTCATAGCGGACTCCCTGACTGTCCCATGTATTTTGAATGCTAAGATATAATCAAAATCAGACAAAACCTGTCCTTACTTTATTTCCGTCCAGGAGGAAAGAGTGCGTAGTGTACCACACAAAAGCCACATTGCAAATTTCGTAGTGGTTGCAACAGCCGTACAGATCAATGCCACACCGTAGCACGACGTCCTGATCCACACCCTACGACAAATTAGATTAAAGACAGTCTATCCAAAAAGCATGCATCACACTGTATTACCGAAATGTCCGTCGGAACAGGACGGGATGTTTGCAATGAGCAATGAAGAATTCACATAAAGGCCAAACGAAAGTGCGGAATCCCCATTCCAGAAATTTCAGTAGGAGATAAGCCATAAGTCCGACAGTAACGGTATCCAGAATTTTAAGGAAGGGTGAGGGATACACAGGGTTCTCCATCTCTCGCAGTCTGTCGGCGGTATCGTTTAAACGTGATATACGGACGGGCAAAAAGGTGCTGGAACAGATTGTCCCTCGTAGATCACTGGCACTATCAATAAATCTAGAGTATTGCTGCCTAAATTTTGACAGCAAGCAGCAACCATACGAGCCAGCAGTACTGCACACCCGCATCACACTGATGGCAGTCCCTTAATACCAGCCATGCGAGTGCACTGCCCGCATTCCCTCGATATGGCGAGAAAGCGATCATTGTTTTCTCACATTTCTCACTTCCGGCTTCGTTTAACCAAGCTAGCTGCTACTGTATCTACTATTGCAGCAAGTACTGGACCAATAGCGTATCCTAGCCCAGAATATTGTGCTTTCGATCAATATTGTTGTAGCAGCAACACATACAAGATAATTCACACAGACCACGCCTTTTGCCGGCATCTTCTGCTTACCTGCTATCTACTGGCTCAAAAACCAGCGCAAACAGTTGCTGAACCTGTTAATAATTATCGCTGTTTCTGCCTCTGCACGTATAGTACGTGTTGGACGTGATCCTGGATATATCGATGTTGACTCGCGGTATTCTGGTCACCTGGTTTGTACATTTGATGTTGATGTGCGTGATTATGAGAGGAAAAGTATAGAGAAGCCATATTCCACTACGAATGCAGTTTTACTAGCACGTATCTGCGTAAACTGTAATTATTTATGAGATTGTCATTCCTGCACAGATACAGTGCCTTGAACTGTCTCCTTAGCATACAACTCTGTGTTTGAACATCGGCGATAAGAAAAATTTCAGGATAGGATTACGAAGAGCAAGGAAGTAGTAACAGTGAACTGCACAAAGCGCGCTTCATCTGCATTAAATTTTATCATTCTTATCCATTCTAGCAAAACGAACAGTAGTACGGCGAACAGCGAAAGTGAACTAGTGAAAGAGTGAAGAAAGTATTCCTTCGAATAAGGATGCCGGTGGCGGTAAGAATGTGGACAGGGTGGCATTGCTGGTCAAAATCGCTGCCGCTGATGAAAAGAGGGAGCTTAAGCAATTCCGAGACAGCTAGGAATCTGCTTCGCTACTGGATAAAGCCGACCACTATGACCAGCGCATGAGTGGCCTAAAATTTAAACACAATTAATTTTAACAGTTGTAATACAGTACGAGCGGTTAAATCTGATTGCATGAGTACTGTAGTACGTACACTCCAGACGAAATGGTCGTCAAACGGCATAGTACCAAACTTCCCAAACTTCAGACCCACTGCGTGCTGTCTCAAACGTCGAATCTGCTTGAATAGCAGGTTTTCTTCGGCATCCGACATCCCGTCTACCTTAGATAACTTGCGTTCTAAAACATCCGCCAGATCGTTGGCCTAAAAGGAGCAGAAGTCGTTACATGGTATGATGATACTACGAAATTTCGGTAGAAGTTATGCAGTTGATGCTCCAACGGAGGCTTTGCCTTTCGCGCACTTTGAAATATCTTTTTATGCTTTTTTATATCAACTGATGTGTAACGTGTACAGTATAAGACATACAGTACATACATTTGAAATGTATGTACACCAATGTGATACTACCAAATTTCGGTAGAAGTTATGCAGTTGATGCTCCAACGGAGGCTTTGCCTTTCGCGCACTTTGAAATATCTTTTTATGCTTTTTTATATCAACTGATGTGTAACGTGTACAGTATAAGACATACAGTACATACATTTGAAATGTATGTACACCAACAAGACAGAGTCTGTATGCACAACATCCAACTGCGAATTACAGTATTTTCGTAAAAACAAGCTTCAATCACAACAATTTCAATTTTTGAAACTTTAAAATGAATTATAAAACGTTTTTGATAAAAAAATTTGCAGCCCGGTTTCTAGAAAATCCTGTGAACCGGGGTTTTGGCTCGGTTTTATTTTCATAATCAAGTGTCGTCCAGAGCAAAGTCTTTTGTGCTAGACAAAGTGTTTGTACCGAACTCAGCGACCCTGTACTACATCAAACCCACCTCACTAACGGCTGCGACGGCATTGGCTAGGACTTTTGTCATCAGGACCTGCGTCAGCACTGGCCATAAATTAGCCGCCGGTTGGTGTAGCCCTTCTTTATGAAGACAGAAGTCACGGACGGCTAATGCACATGCCACATAATCATGAAAGAACACCACACGCAACAGAGATCCGAGCCGACCAGCTTGAAAGACCGCCCGCACATCCTTCAAATGTTCACCATATTCCTTTTCATGTGCCTGCCAGGCCGAGAGGGTGTCACGGCGGTCATCGCTCTCCGGAGGATGGATGAGGAACACTAACCGCCAATTGTAGAAAGTGCACACGGCCAGCATACAGTACAACGTCACAATACCGCGGACCACGGCCAACTGCACATCCGCCAATATACCGGCGTGCAAGGCCCAGTAGTACAGTCTAGGTCCTTTGGCCGACAGCGTGAGGTTGCAGGTTTGCTCACATAACTGCGCTCCGCGCGCCTGCACACCGGCGATAATGGTGAAGAATCCCAGCTCACATTTGTACAGGAGAAAGGGTAATAACATTATCAGCATTATGGCGCCAAATAGAACGCCACCACCCGGAGTATAACTCTGTAGAAACAAGGTCGATTTTCCGGATGCTTTCCTACATCTAGAAAAAGTGGAGCTGGTGTATTAACAGTTAACACTGTTGGTCGCAAGACTCGCAACGTCATGAGCGCAGTCATATTGACAGTACGTAACACTAGTACGTAACACTAGATTTTTTAGGACTGTGAACTGGCAGATAGCCAAGAGAATCTCCCGGCGTGCGTGTGTACCTGTCAAAACCGTCCAGACGGAGGACGCTTCTGCTTATAAGCCGGCACACCCCTCCCCCCCTCGGTTTAAGCAAAAGTCCGCCGTAAATTTTGCCCATCTGAACATTTTTTCACAATTCGATTTCTGAAGCACCCACAATCGAAGTCAAAACAAAATAATTATCAAAATCTTGACGCGGACAGTTATGCCGGACTGTATATCAGAAGCCGGACGGTTTTGTCGGTCTTACCCTTACCGGCAAAAGCTGAAAAGCGTCCGCCGGACGGCGAATCCTTCCGGACCGTTCCGGTTGTGTTTGTGACTCGCCTGAAGTTTTTTAATTATAAGTGAACACGTAATAACTGCGGAATCTGACCCGCCAGTGGCCATTTCGTTGACGGAATTCGTCACTAACTCGACCAAATACAATGTCGATCGCACGAAGCCGAGCTAACGTTTTGCTGAACCACCTAAACTTTCTTAGGATTTTCAGGGTGTCATAGTTTATTTAGTTTTCTTAGGTTCCTTAGGTTCGTAGGTTTCTTAAATTCTTTTAAAAGTTTTTAGATTTGGCAGTTTTTTTAGCTGTCAAGCTCGTGACGGTCGACGTCATGCGATCCACCTTGTGAGATGCATCTTTTGAGTTGTGATGGTCGACGTGTTAGTCGACCTGGTGTGGATGAGCCTTGCAGAATGCTAACAGATCGGGTTTTGTTATAAGGAGAAACGTTCTCACTTAAAAGCAACCGATAATTTCTTGATCAATGGTTTTGTCTAGAAGGTTGGTTATTGTTTGGACGGACACAGCAGAGAGGGGATAACTGGAAACTGTCTAGCTATGTTTGGCGAAGCTTTGTGGTTTCCGCTATAAAGCATGACCTTTAGTTATTCCCAAGATAACTATGCACGATGGTTTGTGACGCTTGTCACTGTATGTGTAATGTATTGACTTTTAATATTTAATAAACACTACAGTAAAAAGCGGGTGAATGCATGAGCGGTTCACCATGGTGTTATCAGTTATGGATATCTGCTATAACATAACTTCACACATTTATCGGAAGCTGCCCATTCTGTTCCTAAATCCTGATGTTATTTTTCGTTTTGGAAGTGCTGCATAAGCAATTCCAGTTGACATGCTTTAAAAGCATCAGACCGAAAGAATCAGTTGGCGGACCAAAAGAACCGAAAGAACAATATTTAGCGGAAACGGAAAACTATTTTTAAGTTGCACTTACGTTCTGCTCTGCAGGTAATGATGAAAAACATTCCTCAAATGGAACGGCATCTTCCACAGGTACTTGCTGACCAAAATGAAGTAGGCCGCAAACGACCCCGATTTTAGCAGAATAGCTACGATTTTCATGTACCTGTCCTTCTGAAGACACATCACTATCTGCGGAAAGGTGTCCAGGATCCAGAGAACCAGTAGCAGCAAAATAATCATCAAACACCACACCACGTTCACTATAAACAGCAGAAGCTTCCATCCCCCGTGGCGAATAGAACACGAGCGAACCAAGCCGAGTAGTCGCAGGACAATCCAGGTAAACGCTACGAAACGTTTGAACCAGGCAGAGAAACGCGCATTCCAAACGTGAGTGGACGGCGAAACCGTAATGGAGGCACCACGGTCAGTTATGTCTTCATCATCCGCCATCCGACGACGACGCAAGTCTACATATACAGGCGGGACTGTCGGGAAGAATGGATCGGTCTCCAGAAAGTCCAGATCATCCATGTCGGGCCGGTCGTACGAAAACATGGGTTATACTGTACGTTCCGAACATTTTCACAAAATGGATTTACGTATATTTACCGGACACCAGAGACACGGTCTTCTCCGCGCAGTGCAACATGACAGAAACTGTTCAAAAATTAATTACGCACGGGATAAGTAGAGTTCTATACAAGCTTGTTGTACGCGAGATTAATAAAAAATTATCAAGTTATCGACACGGAGAATAACCTGTATCTGATGTCCCGATCATGTCGGTACGCGACTTTGTATTGTGAAAATGTCCGGAATGCGGTAAACGTTACAGTATAACAAATTACCGCGGTCGGATTGGTTAATGAAAATATTCGGAAAGGTCAATTCCGGCACCAGAAACAGAAGCTAATCACGCTAGCAATTCGGACGAGTTTTGCTATACCTGCGTACCAAACGCTTAGAGGTTTTCAAAGCGAGTAAAGTCATCAAAAACTAAAGAAATGATTGCACTGGTGAGTATATCATCTGTGATACTTCCCTCTTCAAACTTACAGCGAGGTGTTCCCGGCCGGATACCAGGAAATTTAAAAGAGAAGTGCATTACCTGAGTGGACTACTATTGACAGAGACCGCACTGTACATGCAAAGTGCAAACAAGTGCATAAGTTTTCAATAAAAACAGTCAGCACTGGGACTATACGTGATATATTTCCTTTGCCTAAATAATGAGCTAGTGTCTGCAGGTTTGTGCATCAGGGATGTTCTGTACTGGGAAAGGAAAGGGATGTTCTGTACTTGTAAATGCTGTATTGAAGTAAACGTTGTATGAAATCTTGTGCGCTTTCTGTTCCTCCAAGTATAGCTTGAAGGCGCAGAAAGCGTACGGAAGGTTTTACGAGATACAACTTCCGCCAAAATTTAATACTGTTAAGAACTTGTGCAGTATAACAAATTGTCAGTTATTACATGCAGTGGAGATGTATAATAAGGGATTAAGGGTAATGTTATGGTAGAACACGTTCTCCCCGCTTAGCATGGACAGCGTCCGAACACTGAAGCCGGTCTAATCAAACTTCAAGAAACAGTCTGATTGACGATTATAATGGTGGTATTTATTCAGGAAAAGTAAGTCCAAGCTTAAATGCTTGCGCTAATGGACATTAATTATCAAAAACACTTTTCGTTGTGAAAAATCCTCTGTCACGCTTGTAATGGAAAATTCTGTAACATGCAGATATTATTTAAACGCGGAATTTTAATGAGTTCCAGATTATCGCTACCGGAAGTCCAAAAGCAGTTTTCGAGACTAAATTGTTGTTTCACTTCGCGATAGATCCGACCAGAACCAGCAAAGCAATAATTGCCTGAAATGTAGACATATCTTAACACTATGCAATACATTTTGACCATTAAATATAACAAAATGGCTATTCGCCCGAAACCACAATCTAAAATTTAATTATTGCAGTAATACTTACAATTTTAACGAAATTAGTCCCAACGGATATAGTACCGATCTTCAGACCCACAGAGTGCTCTTGCAAACATCGAATCTGTCTGAACAGCCGGAGTTCTTCGGTCTCCGAAATCCCCTTTACCTTGGACAACACCGTGCCTAATACATCCGTCAGATGATTGCCCTAGAAGCAAGAGGCAGTCTTTTCGGGAAAATGCAACATCAAAGTACGTGTAAGCACCAATTTTCAAGAGTCAGAGAAAGAAATTTACAACAACTATAAGAGCAACCGGCTAGAGATACTTCGGACCTACCTCATCGCTGACGGCAGCGACGGAATTTGCTAAGACGGCGGTCATCAGGATTTGCGAGAGTACTGCCGTTATATTGGTCCATGGCTGGTGCAACCCGTCTTCGTGATAATACAGCTCTCCAAGAACCAATGCACATGCAACGTAATCATGGACGAACAATATGCGCAACAGTAAGCCGAGGCTTTTTTGCCGTTTTAAGGTGAACACACTCCAAACTCCACAAACGTATTGCACATATTCTTTCTCATGTGCCTGCCATGCGGAGAGAGTAGCGCGGTAACCATCGAGCCCCGAATCATGGATCGTCCTGTGCCAGTTGCAGACCGTGCACACGGCCAGCAGACAATACGTAGTTATAACGCAGCGGACCACAGCCAGCTGTACGTCAACAATCACACCGGCGTGCAAACCCCAGTAGTGAAATTCTTCAACTCGCGTCGAATTTTTGTCAAAGGTCTGCGCCCATAACTGCAATCTTTGCGTGCTGACACCGGCAACATTGGTAAACAGCCCTAATCCACTTTTGTGCAGCAGAAAGAAGAATGATGCTATGATGCTGAGAACAGCGCCGCAGTCCGGATTCGTACGCTCCTCGAAAGTGTCGCATAATTTCCGGGATGTCTTCCTAGACCCAAAGAAATTGCTAACTGCATTGCAGTGATCAAGCCAAATACCAATATTACGAATACGAATGCCAATATTTTTTTTATAAAACCATGCGCTTCGAATATTGGAACTTCGAAGTATGTAGTACTTCAGCCCGCACTTTACTCTGTCTCCACTTGCGAGCTGATAGCGTGTACTCTCTGCCTGATACTCACGCTTTACTCTGCAGGTAGTGACTGTAAACAGTCTTCAGATGGTGCGGCATATCCCACATGCTCCCACTGACATAAACAGAGAAGAAGACGAACGAGATCGATTTCAGCAAAATGACCGCGGCTTTCATGAAGTTTTTCTGCCTTCGACATAACTCCATTTGCGTGCTGGCGTCAACGATGGTAGCAGCCAGCAACAACCAAGTGATCATAAGAAACCATGCCATGTTGATGATAAAAAGCAGAATTTTCCATGCCGCATAGCGGGTACGGCCACGATCGGACCAAGCCGAGCAGCCGTAGGACAACCCACGTGAAAGCTACCAAGCGTTCGAACCATAAACCGTTGCGCGCGCCTGATGCGTGGGTGGATTGCGAAGCCGAAATGGACGCATCATGATCCGTACTGCCTTCATTCGGCTTTGGCGGCGCAGATCTATATCATCTGTCGGGAAGAGTGGATCGGCCTCTACATCATCCATCACACGACCGTGCGAAATCCGCCTATGTTCCAGCAGGTTTTTAGGTTGATAAAAACTTTCCAAAGGTCAAAAGGGGCGCACCGATAGAGGAATTAGCAGCGCTAGCACCAAGAATGAGTATTTATTATGTCTGCCTACCAAACATTAACGTTGTTCTTGCCAGCGAGTAAAAATCGATGACAGACTTACAACATTGGTGTGCTGCTGCGTGAGTGCCTCTATGATGTCGCTATCATGAACCCTTTAGCAAAGTTCTACCGGCCGGTCGATGAAGGAAAATTCGAGAAAACCGTATTATTTTGAGGGGACTACTGTTGACACTGCCCAAACACAGTTTACACAAGTACGGAACAGGTGTTTGCAAGAAATCAACACTTGAGACGATCCGTCAAAGAACAGTTCAACACCTTTAGGGAATTTGGGATTATCTATTGCCAATCAATTTTTCTCGGGTAAGTACCATGCCGACATCGGCAGATTTTGATATATTATCCAATTACAAACGTCATGAGCGCAGACAGGTGCGCTACCGCTTGTGCGGCATACAGATACTGTAAGAATTAATCCGGAATACCTTACTTTATAATGTTGTTATTGGTTTTTAATTGCTGATCCGCGTGCAAGAATATCTGAACCTCGCTAACACATAGAGTGGAGGTACTTCACCCGCATCGTAAAGATATGTTCCGCCTGCTTTCTAAACGCACGGGTCATGATGACCTTGTAAGCAAAAAAACGCTTCTAGCGTAAATTTCTTGTATAATGTTTATAGAAAATAACACCACTTATTCGGAAAAAGCAATGCGAGCCTCAATGAGGTTACGCAGGCAGGCTGCTGTCCCAAGTTGTCGCTGTCGGCGGTCCAAGAAACAGCTTCCGAGTTCCGAGGCGCCTGAGATTTCACTTCACGATAAAGCCGGACAGAAACACCAAAGCAATCTCTGCCTGCAATTTATGGTCAAACATTTAGAATAATATTTTTTGATGGTCAAGTTTAATTACACCAGCAGTACGTACAGTCCAGACGAAGTGGTTGTCAACGGGCATAGTACCAAATTTCCAGCCCACTGAATGCTCTTTCAAATGCCGAATCTGTTTGAGTATCCGGTTCTCTTCGGCATCCGATATTCCGTCCACCTTAGTCAGTGCCTTGTCTAAGACATCCGTCAGATGGTTTCCCTGAAAAATAGCGGCAGCTTTTCGTGTTAATGCACGAATACAGTAGCGGTGTTTAACCGATATTGAAAGCGTTCACAGATCTAACTACAAATTATTACCGGTATTTAAACAACAGTAAAGCATTCCAAAACCATAGAAATGCAGACCCACCTCATCGCTAACGGCGGCGACGGCATTTGCTAAGACGATTGTCATCAGAATTTGCGAGAGCGCCGCCATGGCATTGATCCATGGTTGATATAGCCCAAGTTTGTGGTAATGCAGTTCACCGAGGACCAGTGCGCATGCGACATAATCATGGGCGAATAATAAGCGCAATAGGAAGTTCATATCCTGGCAGAACCACCCGACCTGATGGAAGTGTTCAGTATACTCCGGTTCATGCGTTTGCCACGATGCATTATCGCCCTGTGCCAGTTGTAAAACGTGCAAACGGCCAGCATGCAGTACGTAGTCAGAACGCCGCGAACCAGTGCCAGCTGCATATCGGCAATTACACCGGCATATATTCCCCAGTAGTACAGTGTTTCTCCTTTCGCTGACAGCTTGTTGTGGAAGTTCTGCGCCCATAATTGCGTTCCTTGCTGGTGCACTCCAGCAACATCCGTGAATAATCCCAGCTCACATTTGTGCAGGAGAAAATTGATGGCTGCTAGGACACTGACAATAACGGCGCCCTCCGGATTTGTTCGTCGAGGGGAGGCAAAAGAAAGATCACGGGAGATTTTCCTATACCCAGAAAAATTCGATATTGTATCAGCGTCTTAAAAGTTACCCTGTTTTGTATTGACAGTTCATTGTTACATTAGCTCGTTCATGTATTTTAATTTCTTTTATATTTTTGTCACTCACACTGTACTCGTAGGTACGTGCAAAAACCGGTTAACCTATTGAAGTACTTACACAACATCCGTGGATTTTTACAAAAAGCGTAAAATGAAATAACAAAATTAAATAACTAGCCACCGGCTTATCAAAAACGTGTATTTTGTGGTGACTAATATATAAGAAAATTCAAAGTATCTCATCACCAATAGCAAACTGGCACTTACGATTTGCTCTGCAGATAGTGGTTGTAAACGTGCTTCAAATACTGTGGCATATCCCACAAGTGCCAACTGACACAGATAAAAAGGGCGACAAACGAGCCGGATTTTAGTAGAATAGCTGCGACTTTCATGTATTTCTTCTCTCGTCGACAAGTCTGCATTTGCGGAGCGGTGTCCACCATCGTAACACTTAGCAGCAGTACCACCAGTACCAGAAACCACAGTATGTTCAGTATTAACAGTAAAACTTTCCATCCTTTGTGGCGGGTAGAAAAGGAACGGACCAAGCCGAGCATACGTAGCACCGTCCACGTAAACGCTACTACACGTTTGAACCAGGCAGTGTAGCGCGCATTTGTAGCAGGAGTGGCTGCCGATGCTGAAGCAGACTCATCAAGGTTAATTTTTTCTCCATCCGGCAATCCGCGACGCATTACGGCAAATCCAAATGTAAGACTCGGGAGAAGTGGATCACCTTCCAAATCCACCATCGTTCGGAGCGTGTACGGTGCGTACTGTATAATTATATCGTCCGAGTTTGCTTAGCTGATCAAACTTTCGGAAAAGGTCAACATCGACACCGGAAGCAGTAACCGATAGCGTTAACGGATTTTGTTGTATCTGCTTAACAAACGTTTACTCGTTTTCAAAACGAGAAAAATCAATTTCGCACGTGTTAGAAATTAAAATTCAAGCTGCCTTGATGGGTTGCTGTGTGTGTTACAGGCGTACAGGCTTTAACTGCCATACGTGGCACTTCCCTAGCAAACCATTCAGCTAACTGCGCGCGACGATGCAAATTAATTTGAGTACTGACAGAGCCCACACTGTTTCACACAAGTATACGACGCTGACGATAGCTGTCTGCAAGAAATTAACGTCGCTTAAAACGATCCAGCCGCCGTCATGAAAAGCGGTTCAGCACTTTCGAGATTATCGATTACACATCACTTGTCTTTACCTAACAGCTGTGCCGATGCCTGCAAATTTATGACAATGTGCTGACACTGACAGTCACACGAATAGTGTTTGTGAACAAAAAGAGTTTATCCAGATGATTTTATTTTATAACACAGTTTGTTATTAGCTTTTCCTCTTATACGGCACATCTATCGCAGAAGCGCATCTGTAGACAGAGAACAATTATTTCAGCACAGAAAGAAACGTAACGAAACGGCAACGAAGCACAAATTGATAAATGCGTTTCAAAGAAAAGTATCGCACTCGTGTCTCGTGATGTGTGCAAACAACGCACTGGTGATGTATTAGTGTTATTTCAACTTGTTCGGCCGAAGTATAAAAGCTATTAAAGGCTATTTGAAGCTATTAAATGCGCTATTTTAATGCAGTATACAATCAACGGTGATGACGTAATTTAGCGGGTGCCATTAAACGTGAACCGAGCGAAGGAGTAGGAAAATGATTCCTTCGATTAAGAATGCCAGTGAGCGATGTGGACAGGGTGCCGTTGCTTGTTAATCATTGCTGTCGCAACTAAAAGGAAGAAGCTTCCGAGACTTCTAAGGATCTGCTGCACTACGCGATAGTGCAAACCACCGACACCAACGCCAGGCTGGCCTAAAGTTTAGACACACTATATTAGCATTGCAACCTGACGGTAAAATCTGACTGTGTAAGTAGTACGTACATTCCAGACGAAATGGTAGTCAAAGGGCATAGTATCAAACTTCAGACCCACGGCGTGCTCTCTCAAACGGCGAATCTGCTTGAAAACCCGGTTCTCTTCGGCATTCTACCTCCCGTCCACCTTGGACAGCGTGTCGTCTAGTATCTCAGTCAGAGGATTGCCCTAAAAGGAGCGGCGGTCGTTTTGTGCCACGTACTCGGTACTGTAGAAGTTAAAGGAGGATGGCCCAAGTATTTTATGATCTGTAGACTATAGATCATAAATTACTTGGGCCATTCTCCTTTAACTAGAATTCGTACTATAGACTATAGTACGAATTCTATGGTAAGGGATATGAGATCTATGGTATATTAGTAATTAAGGGAAACGGCCCCAATATTTTACGATCTATGGTATTTTATAATCCATGTGCTCTTTACCGCGACATTTCTCGTGAGCAGCCGTTGTTGATAACTTAAAAATTTTATTTAAATTGTTAAAAATTAAAACAAAACTGAAAAGCAACACAAGCCCTTCAAAATACGTCGCACCCACCTCCTCGCTAACCGCCGCGACTGCATTCGCTAAGACTCTTGTCATCAGGACCTGCGACAGCATTGCCGTTAAATTAACCCCCGGTTGAGCGAATCCGTCTTTATGAAGACAAAGGTCACGGACGACTAATGCGCACGCCATGTAGTCATGAAAGAACACCAAGCGCAGTAGCATCCCGAGACGATCAGACCGACACATCTCCCACACATCGTAGAAATGCTTGCCATATTCCTTTTCATGTCTCTGCCATGCCGAAAGGGTGTCGCGGAAGCCCTCGCGTCCCGGATGATGGATAACACGGCGCCAATTGTAGAATGTGCAAGCGGCCAGCTTGCAGTACAAAATCACAATGCCGCGGACCATGGCGAACTGCACATCCGCCATCACACCGGCGTACAGTGCCCAGTAGTACGCTGTCGCTCTTTTCCCCGACACCGACAGCGGGTTGTCGTTATAGGCCTGCGCCCATAACTGCAATTCCCGCGCATGCACACCGGGAATATCGGTCAACAATCCCAGCTGGAATTTGTGCAGGAGAAAGTTGATTGCGGCTATAGCACTGAGTACAGCGGCACCAGCCAGCCGAATACGCCATGCGAACATGAGCCGTTTTCCAGGTGCTTTCCTAGATCCAGAAAAGTTAATCACTGTATTGGCACGATTAATTACAGGTTTACTTTTGATTGCCGGTCATAAGCGCAATCGTCGTATATTACGCAGTATTAGATTTGCACGAACTAGCCGACGGTAAAGGGCTTGTCGTGAAACCTTTGCACTTACTGGAAGTCATTTATTTACGAGTGAATAACACGCTTACTTGCCGTTAGCTACTCTAAGATTAGCGATCGCCGACGGTTACCATAATTCTCTTGGTTGGGGATTTATGAGGTGATCAATTATCATCAGCCTTGCAGTTTCCATTACATAAGTGTGACCTTTAGCTGTCCTCAGCAAATAATCAATTAGCTACTTCTCATTCTTCACCACAAACCACTGGCAATATTACGGTTTGTTGACAATTTCACAATATGATTGGGCTTTATTATTCTTTTCCCAATGCAAGTTTCCCACTACCTACTTTTTGCGTCACAAGAGCACGCTGTGTTTGGAAAGAGAATCAGTTGGTTGCGCTTTATGCAGTAATATTTGGTGGAACGGAATAGTGTCCTCAACTGCAATTACGGTAACGATCTGCTATGCAGGTAGTGATCGAAAACATTCTTCAGGTAGTACGGCATATCCCACAGGTTACGGCTAACAAAAATGAAGAAGATCTCAAGGGAGCCGAATTTCAGCAACATTGCCATGATTTTCAGGTATTTTATCTTCAGAAAACACATCTCCATCTGCGGAAGGGTGTCCACGATCCAAAGAATTATCAACAGCACAATGATCACGATACACCACACCACGTTCATTATAAACAACAGCGCTTTCCATCCCAAGTGGCCAGTAGAGCACGAACGGACCAAGCCGAGTAGTCGCAGGACAATCCATGTAAATGCTACGAAACGCCCGAACCGTGCAGAGATGCGCGCATTCCAAACGTCCGTGGACGGCGAAGCTGGAACGGGTGCACCACGGTTGGTTATGTCTTCCTTATCCGGCACTCGACGACGCAAGTCTGGCGGGACGGTCGGGAAGAGTGGATCGGTCTCCAAATCATCCATTTCGGCCCGGTCGTCCGAAAACAAATATCGCGAACACGATAAACGTCGAAGTATAATAAATTACCGCGGTTGGTTAGTTGATGAAAATCTTTAAGAGTCTTGAAAACGAAGCGGTTGCTAATGGCGCTAGGCCGCTAGCAACGGGGACGAGCTTTTTATGCCTGCGAACCAAACGCTCGCCGATTCACAGAGCGGGTAAAAGCGATCCCGTATACGTATTCAAAATGCAAGCTAGGAAGGCACTGGTGTGTATGTCGTCTGCGATGCATCCCGCTCCAACCGCGCGGCAAAGTGCTGCCGGTCGGATGCCAGGAAATTTGAGAGAAGTGTTTTACATGAGAGGAATACTGTTGACAGAGACGACATTGTACATGCAAAGTGCAAACAAGTGCATCAGTTTTCATAGAATTGTGAAGCACTGGGACTACTGTATACATCACACTGCGTTTTTCTACATGTTGTGCCAGTGTTTGCAGGTTTATGTCCTCGGTAAGGGCAAGGTGCACTGTGTACAGAAAGCCAGGGTGTGCATATGCAAGCTGAACTGATCCGGATGCTTTAGTACGAGTATAGTATATGATTTTGTAATTTTTAGTTCATTAGAATCAGACCAGTAAGCCGAAGCCAGATACACATACTGTATTCGCTCGGACATCTTGAACCACAGAGTGTGTGTACGGGAAAAACACCCATTCAATATACACACTCTAACCGGGCAAAATGCACGACTACGAAATATTCCTCATTTGGTTTCAAGATGAACAGTTCTTCTTGTGAATTTGTTTAATAGATCAAGACTTTTCATTTAAATGGCAATTCACTCTGGAAAAAAAAGGTTCTGTGGCTGAAAGCTCGAATTGTTCGGTGGTTCATCGCCATCAAGAATGTTGACGCGGAACGTACCCCTCCAGGGGCACCCCAAAAACCACAACAAATCCGTTTGTAACTCGTGCTTACGCCAAAGCTGTATGTTAATGGCTGCTTTCGAGCATAAACATGACAAAAATTGTTAGAGCTCTAATTTTTTCATTATTCAAGAAGTTCTCCAGTCCAGATGTTGTAAGACATCAAAAATTTATCAAATCGCGAATCGCGCGTTTGGCCCGGTTAGAGTGTGTATATTGAATGCGCGTTTTTCTCGTACACACACTCTGTGGTTCAAGATGTGCGAGCGAATACAGTACTAGTAAAGAAACCATTGTAAAACTTTCTCTGTAAAGGAAAGTACTGTAGATCGATCGCAACTAGCGATTATAATACATAATTATAATGTAGATATAATACAGTTTTAAACAAGGAATGTAAATGAGTTATGCGGCAGACGAGCGCTGGTTTCAAATTATGATACCGGCAGTCCAAGAAGCAGCTTGTGAGACCAAAGCATTGTTTCACTTCGCGATAAATCCGACCAGAAACACCAAAGCAATGCTGGCCTGAAATTTAGTCACATTATGCTATACTCTACTATAATTAGATTTAATTACTGCGCCAGTAATACTACTCACACTTTTAACAAAATCATTGCCAACGGATATTGTGCCAATCTTCAGACCCACTGAGCGTTCTTGCAAACGCCGGAGCTGCCGGAATATCCGGTTTTCTTCAACCTCCGATATTCCGTTTACCTGGGACAACGCCGTGCCTAGTATATCCGTCAGATGATTGCCCTAGAAGGAAGAGGCAGTCGTTTCGGGAAATTTCAGCTTCACAAGCAGCGAATTTCCAAAGCACCAGAAGAGTTCAGAGAATGCAAATTGGAAACAACTGTAAAAGCCAACAACTAGAGTGACATCGAATCTACCTCATCGCTAACCGCAGCGATGGAATTCGCTAAGACGATGGTCATCGGAATTTGCGAAAGCACTGCCATTATATTGGTCCATGGTTGGTCCCATCCGCGTTCGTGGTAATAAAGCTCTTCAAGGACCAATGCACATGCGAGGTAATCATGGACGAACAATATGCGCAACAGGATGGCGAGACTGCTTTGGCGCTTTAAAGTAAACATTCTCCAAACTCCATACATGTATTGCAAGTATTCTTCTTCATGCGCCTGCCATGACAAGAGTGTAGCGCGGTAACCATTGCATCCCGGATGGTGGATCGTCCTGTGCCAATTGTAGAACGTGCACACGGCCAGAATGCAGTACGTAGTTATGACGCCGCGGACCAAAGCCAACTGCATGTCGGCAATCACACTGGCGTATAATCCCCAATGGTACAGTTCCTCAAAGTGTGTCGCAAGCGTCCGGTTAAAGGACTGCCCCCACAACTGCGCTCCTTGCTTGCTGATACCGGCAACATCGTTGAACAATCCCAGCTCGCTTTTGTGCAGCAAAAAAAAGAATGCTGCTATGACGCTGAGAAGAACGCTGCAGTCCGGGTTTGTACGCTGTTCGAGCCGAGTTAATTACCGGAATGTCTTCCTAGACCCAAAGAAACTGCCGTAATTTATTTAGGGAAGTGACCCGATACAAGGCACCAAATTCATGTCCATGTAGTGAAATTTTCACGTTGAATGCATTTGTGTGTAAACCGTGTGTGCGCGCAACATCCGGTTGGAGAATAATTCCGGAAGAAGAATTTAATCCCGTTTAATCACGTCAAGTTGTAACAAATGTCTGCATGGGTTTTTTCAGATGAGTAAATCCACATAAGTGCAAAGATCATTTATACACCCAACCAGAGCAAAACCACCTTTCTCAAACTGTAAAATGAATTTCAGAATTTTTAGAAATTAGAATACATTTTAAATTTTGTAAAAAATGCCAGAATCGTTGTTCGGTGGAAAAGCGATCTCATAGTTTTATAAAAAAAATTTTGAAGTAGATCGCTGTACTTCTATAGATAGTAAGAGATTTGGTACACCTAAATGCGTTTCAAGTTTTCAATTGTTTGGAATTTTCTAACAGCAAAAACTGCTCAACCTAATGTTAAGCCCACAAACGGTTTTCCCGCCAATCTACACAAATCATTTACCTACACAACGTCACATACATCGTCATATAACAATGCACAAAAGCGTCTGTTATCGTGTACTCTGTATGTATCTGTACACATGAATTGCCACCATGTATCAGGTCACTTTCTTTAACATATCAAAACAAAATTCAAAAATATTTATTCTAAAAAAATTTACGATACAAAGTGATCAAAGAGGGTGAATATTCGAACTTTGAAGTATTATACATATTAGCCCGCACATTACTTTGTCTCCATTTGTGAGCTGATACTTAGGCACTCTTTGCTTAATACTTACGTTTTACTCTGCAGGTAGTGATTGTATACAGTTTTCAAATGGTACGGCACATCCCGCACTTGCCAGCTGACATAAGCGAAGACAGCGACAAACAAGACCGCTTTTAACGAGATAGCCGCGGCTTTCGTGAATTTTTTCTGTCGTCGACATATAATCATTTGCGGGCTGGCGTCAACGATAGTAACAACCAGTAACAGCCAAGTGAGCATCAGAAACCATGCCATGTTGATTATAAAAAGCAGTGTTTTCCATGCCCCACAGCGGTTAGGAAATGTGCGCACCAAGCCGAGCAGCCGTAGAATAACCCATATGGAAGCTATCAAACGTTCGAACCATAAAGCGTTGCGCGTGGAAGCGCTACTGGGCTGAACATTTGAAATGGACGCATCGTCATCAGTAGATGCAATACTGCCTTCATCTGGCATTCGGCGGCGCAGATCTGCATTTCGTGGCGTGGCTGTCGGGAAGAGTGGATTAGCTTCTAAATCCTGCATCATACGTCATGCAGACGTTGTCGCAGACTGATTGGCTGATAGTAAAGGTCAAAACTGCCGCATCGACACAGGAATTAGCAGCGCTGACAACTGGCATGAGCTTTGCTTAAATGTCTGCGTGCTGAACGTTGATCTTGTTCCCGAAGCGAATAGAATCGATCACGAACGTATTGCGTTGGTGTTTTGCTGTGTATGTGCCATTTATGATGCATCCTTTCCCAACCATTCAGCGAAGCACGCATGGAAGGCTGACAAAAGAACATTTGAGAAAACGGTATCATTTTGAGAGGACTTATGTTTACAGAGCCTATACAGTACACATAAACACACAGCAGTGTTGTTTACAAGAAATTAACACTTGGGGGGATCCATTAGCGGCAATAGGAAAATATATGGAGAAAGTCCAACACCTTCCGGAATTTAAATTATCGATCGTACAACAATTTACTTAGTTAAGTGCTCTGTCGACGTCGGCAGAATTTGGTATTGTCAGTAAGTGTTTGGTATTGTCAGTAAGTGTTCTTCCCTCTTCCCTTCCCTCTGCTCACCTAATGTGCAACAACAGCTGGGCCTCGCTACAGTTCCATTTAGCAACTGTAACTGATAGTTTTAGCTTACTACTTTGCACAGTAGCTTTTCAGAAACAAGGCAGAAATTAACTGAAACGCATAATAAAGAACGGGCGACAAAAGGCCGGACGTTGTTACGCTGATCCCATGGGAACGCGGCAAGCCAATGGCAGTAGACGTGACTTGTGTGAACACCGTAGCCGACACCTACATTGGCCGTACCTCTGTTAACGTCGGTGCCGCAGCAGAACTGGCCAAGACTAACAAGCTTGCGAAGCACGAGTGGATTCAGTAGAATTTCATTCCTGCAGCCTTTGAAATCTACGGATCCCGGGGCCAAAAAGGCTGGTCGATTAAACTGGACACCTTATTGCAGCCGCCACTGGACAACCTCGCGCGAAAGAATTCTTCCGGCAGCGGATTTCTATCCTCATCCAAAGAGGAAACACGTTGTGCTTAATGGGCACAATTGCGGATCATGATAAATTAGAAATATTTTACTGTAAACCTGTTTTACTTTGTAATTACAGAGTACGTTATGCCGGCTTTGTTCCGTATACGAGAAGTGGTGCACAATGCTTTTTGGAGCACCTACCTAGTAAGTGCTCTGTCATATTGTCAGCGGATAAGTGGTTGTTTTACCTGGTCGTGCACCTTCCTGTTAGAGTACAAATTTATATAAACTAATGTACAACACTTGGAACGATCCATCCAGGCAATAGAAAGCGGTTCAACACCTTCGGGAATTTGACTTACCGATCGTCCATTAATTTACTTAGCTTACAGTAAATACTATGCCGGAGTCGACAGATTTTTCATATTGTCCTTCTGTATGATACTTATGCGAACACTGGCAGTGCGAAACGAGAGGCAATACTGTAGCTATAGCACATACTGCCTTTGATCAATGTTTTGAACCGATATTTGCGTCCACAAGTGTAAATACTTTTACAACAACAGGCACAAATTTCAGCCGCGCAACCCGGCTGTTCATTAATTTTCATACCCAAGAGCATTACTTCAGTGAATACAGTTAAACACATAAAGCACAGTAATCTTCTGTCTGATCTAACAATTCCTTCCATCTAGAATGCGCATCTGCAACTTGAACTGCTATCAAGATGCCCTTTGGGCCACTGCTATTTGCAAACATTACAGTAGAACATCAGCCACTGCAGCAGCGAGTCAGAAAAACTGATGGTTGATAGTAGTGGTAAATAGTAGATCCTCTTCAAGCATTTTTGCAAATCGCTTAATTTCCTTGTTTCACTTTTTGCAAAACGTGACGTTTTCGCCCAGCAACCCTACGGAAACACAGAACAGTAGTTTCTTCCGGGATGTCGTTTGTCATTCTGCTTATGGTTATCGGCTTTGTCCGCGGCCTCCCCAATCCTGGATGCCACTATCATGAGCAGTCGTATCCATATCACCAACTGGTGTGTACTAAGAACAGTTTAATATTCCCTCTTACATTTATGGTTGATTCCATTCCGCAACAAGTCCGGAATATCTATCTCAGTTGTCACGCTTCCAAATCCCAGCGACCGTTTGATTACTGTAACGTAGTAAACGATGACATGTCACCCTTGCCATTCCGGAGACACTTACAAAATGTCTGATTGCAAAGATTCACCGCAGCGAACGGTGGAAAAATTCCCATTGACAAACTCTTGTTTAATAACAGACATATCATTACAAAGCTTCGGATTCATTACTCGAGAATCGGTTCTATTGATCGCGGTTATTTTGCCGGTTTTGGAAAGCTGCAGCTGCTCGAGCTCCAGCATAACGATATTACCGGTATCAGTATTGATGCTTTTGACAGTTTAGCCGGAGAAAGGTCTATGAAACCGTCGCTGGCGGATCTGTATTTGGATGATAACGCATTGGAAACGTTCGATTGGGGAGCGCTGTATCCATTAAGACACACGTTGGTGGGTTTAAATGCTGTATGTAGTCCGAGAAAGAGCAAACAGTTTTCGATTTCACCACATAGCGTACGGGTTACGTTCCGGTAAATACGAGGCCCGTAGTACACGTAGCGGCCCGTAGTACACGCCCGAAGATCTTTTCTCAACATAAACATAACCCATCAGCATGCGGGTAATATATCGGCTCTCTCACGACGTTGTAGCCGAAAGATAAGGCGCGCAATACACGCTTACGTAACCAGTAGCCAGTAGGTAACTTGGAAAACCTAAAATTCTCGAAGGACTCGTAGTTGCTAATCAATGCTCTTTTTGAACAGACACAACTTCATCTGGATGACCAGAAACCGAAAATGCATTCCTTAACACTTAGTGGCAGGGCCTTTAATACATCGATTCAGCACTTGTATATTCAAGACAATTCGCTGAAGTCTGTTCCCATTGGTGTACTGGACAGCATTGGCTGGAACTCCTTTATTCCGGCTTCACTAAATATCGCACGCAATGCTTTCTGTGAAGGATTTACTGATTGTAGCTGCTGTGAAATGGCGTATTTAGTATCTTGGGCTAAAAAAATTACTTTGATGGAAAGGCCTTCCGGCGTCTACACCTCCGTCACGCTGTCCTGTGGATCACAGTCAGACCTCATATCCATAAATCGCGAAAAATTTCACATAGTGCCAGACTGGTTTGACCACTGTAAGATTTTTATACCCATTGCGTTTAACAGTAGGCTGGAATATAAGACGTAAAAGACGGATCATTTTATTGCACTGTGTTGCTTGTTGCAGGTGACACAGCAATCACCACTGTCATAACATCCAGTACAGGCATCCCGAAATCGGCAACCCGCATATCCACATATGCAGGCGCCAGCAACCACAATTCCAGCGCACTTTGCCGCGAAACTAAACCAATTGAAATAAACTGTTCATCTGGTCGTTTGACGATACCCGAACCAGATCTGTCACGTGCTGAAGGCACCGTTATCACCTTCCGCATCGATCGCTCATTTGGATGCATAAGTAAACTGTACAACCTCCACACCATGGCGCTAGAACTGTTCAATGTCTCGGAGCAAACCGGTATCCAGCAACATCCGCACGAAGAGATTAACGTAGATTGTATCAGTGGACTGCCCACTATCAGCTCAACCGACCCCGAAAATTCGCACGCCCGCCAGCTCACTTTTCGCTCCGATTTTACCAGCGAATGCTTTCCGAAATTTACCGAATTTCTCAACCACATCCATATCAACATCGTAACAGATGACAACATGTATTCTGTGGCGACAGGAAACGCTGAGCACGAGCTCTTGGACCCAATGTGGAGAACCTGTGGAAACATCGTGACCGCAAACTGCACCGAGGGAACGTTTGTGTTCTCCCACATCCAGTATATCGCCCTACTAGCGGATGGCGTGGTTATCCGCATCGACCAGTCGTTCGACTGTCGGAGCACTCTGGTGGCTATTCATGAGCACATTCTGGCCCAGGAGATGACCGTTGTGCAACCACGACCCCCTGAGCCATTGCCCAAGTCGATTGCGGTTGTGTGCAGTAAAGGTCACGTGTTGGTATCCGAAGGTCATCCGCGACGGTCGAAGAAGACGATCATAGAATACTCAGCCAAGCCAAGCAAGTTCTGCCGCGCTACATTCCAAAAGTTTATGGAGTACTTGTTTGGATTATAACCGATTTACAAAGCATGCATGCCGTTGCCGTCAACATCCATTAAAAAATCTTTCGTTGCGACAGCGTGTCGACTGCCGAGCTTGTACTTAAAAATTTTTTATATACGTATATACAGTATTATACACACGTGACACACTTTTATATATACAAGCTTACATATATACAGTCGTACACATATAGGGGGCAAAACCAGGCATCTCCCATCGTTCCTATGTACTGCTGCCGTCACCCGGCTGGAGGTTTACGTTGCGGCAGTGTGTCGACTGTACAGTGTGCCGTTGCGGCAGTGTGTCGTTGTGGCGGCTACGTGACAAGTCGTCGCGGGACAGTTCGTCGCGGGACATTTCGTCGGGGACACTTCGTTTAAAAGACTTTTTGTCGGGGGACAACTGGTTTTAGGATGTTTCGTTACAAGGACAATTCGTTGTGGGACACTTTATTGTCGTGACAATTGGTAGCAAACCTACTCGTTGCTTAACTGGTACATTTCGTCGCATGGATAAATCGCCGCATGGACTTTTCGTTGCGCCGCATTTTTTTGGGGTTTTTTAATGGGAATTATTACCAAACTGAATCTACCATGAATGGCTGTGAAATTTGGTAACAGTCAGTGCGTTGTCAGCAGGCGCACGCAACCATTGCACGAACGATCGCCAAAACAGAGCAGTATTGACCTTTCGTTCCAGCGTATACATAAAATAATCATGGATAAATAGCTTCCCACCGCGAAATGGTCGAAGAAAAACTGTATCCAGCCATGATGATTCAAAAATTAAACGAAATCAGTCAAAAGGTCAAATTTTTTGAAGTTTGCGCTTTAATTAAAAAAAACTAGCAAAATAGTGTAATTATGTTGAAAGCACCGTTGTCGTAAGTTTTTTGAAGTGTAATCTTGGCGCGCTCCAGCGTCGACTTTTAAAGACATTAAACCAGACTTGACCGGCTTTTACAATCGTAAGAGAGAAAGAGCAACTGTAAGTTAGAAAGTGTGAAGATTGTGAAGAAGCCGACGATTTTAATTGTACATGTGTGAATTGTGCTGATAAAGGTATTAAAAGGCCGCACGACCAGCACTCAGCTTTTAATCATTCGCTGTGCCATACTTATAATGAATTTCGAAATTCGCGGTACTTTTACAATAATAACATTCAAAAAAACCGGTAATCCCTTCTGATAATCTGGCAGTTAATTATATAAATCCTGTTCATATTAATGGGTCACGTAAACGCAGTCGCGGATCCGTTCGCATTCGCTTCTGTAACATAAACGGCGTTAAAGGGAAAAGTGCCCAAATCAAGATGTTTTGCTCTGAATCTGACGTTACCGGTCTTGTGGAAACTAAAGACAAAGATCATTACACGGATTCTCTCTTTGCTGATCAACGCTCTTTCAATGTTTTCAGGAAAGCAAGGGTTTATGACTCTGGTGGTGGTGTCGCTCTAGTTATTCGCAAACGTTATGAAGCGCACAGGCGCAGTGATCTAGAGCCTTCTCAGCTAGAAGCAATTTGCGTCGAGTCTGGTGGCCTAAATAAAATCTTTATCGTCTTTTATTCTCCACCCGACAAATCTCATTCTGAGATCTCAGTGCTAATCGAACACCTGCACGACAAATTCTCCCCAGCTATGCTTAGCAAAACTGTTCTCCTGGGCGACTTTAATTTGCCAGACATAAACTGGCAGTTAGGCTCCGCGCGTTCGAAAGCCGGTAAACATCTTTTGTCTTCAGTGAAAATGTTTAATTTTCGACAGTTAATTAATTTTCCTACTAGGAAAAGAAATTGTCTTGACCTCTGCTTCGTTTCAGCTGATCATTTGTGCACTAACATTATTTCTGTTGCTCCGCCATCCACATCAAACGATCATGTGCGTTTACAGTTTGATTTAAAAATAAAAGTAGGAAGAGCCCAAACGCGCAAATTTAAAAAATGGACTATAGATACTGCCAATATTAATGTTTTTCGAGAAAATTTAAATAATGTTGATTGGTGCAGGGAATTTATTTAATAATATTAATGCCGAAGAACGGGCTATTGTTTTCGAGCAAAAGTTTCTTGAGATTGCCAAATCAGTGTTTGTGTTTGATGAAGTGAGCGTAAAAATAGGCATGCCTCGCTATCCCTATACTTTCAGGAGAATGATACGCGCGCGAGACAGAGCTTTTAAACGTTATCGATTTGCAGTTTTTCCGTCAGTGCGCTCCGTCCGAAATGAAAAATGGATGCAACTCTCGAAAAACGCAGAATTTGCTATAAATAAATTTGAAAGTCACCGAATCGTTGAAGTTGCGAGTAGTTATCGTAATAATCCAGGTAAATTCTGGCGGTTTATGAAATCCAGAGAGAGCAGTCAGCCAATACCTCCGCTTAAACGAAATGCAGGGTCGTTTGCAAATTCAGAACCCGAAAAAGCCGAAGTTCTAAATGAGCAGTACTGTGCCTCCCACTCTGCGTGTACACAGCATTGCAGTGATACAGGACTGAATTTAGCATGTAAAAATTTTTCGAGAGTTGAGTTTGACGATTCCATGATCCTTCTTCAGCTTTCTTTGATTTCCTCATGTACATCCAGTGGTAATTTTGAAGTAACAAATAAATTGTTGAAAGCTGCCGGAGGTTCAATTGTCCAGCCTTTAAAGTTGGTTTCAATGCAGTGCTAAACGAAGGTGTTTATCCGGCAGCATGGAAAAAGGCATACATTGTTCCCATTCCGAAGAAAGGTTGTGATTTGGCTCTTCCGAGCAGCCATTCGCCCAATTTCAATGCTGAACCCTATTTCTAAAATTTTTGAACATTGTTTATCCGAAACAATACGAGATCACTTGAACGTGTACTCAGCCTTAGGTGATCATCAGTTTGCTTACCGTCGGCATAGGTCTACTGAATTACAGATTTGTTATCTCGTAAAAACAGTCTCCGATTTTCTTGACAATGGCATCGAAGTAGCCGCTATTTTTCTTGATTGTTCCAAAGCGTTTGACAAATGCGACCATCAAAGCCTTGTCACCGCCCTTATAAACCTTAACGTACCCAGCCAGGTTATACATTTAATTTCTGATTATTTGAAAAATCGTACGCAAATTGTTTCTGTCGGCAATTGCTTCTCAGCATTTTTCAAAGTAACAAGTGGTGTACCGCAAGGATCTGTATTAGGGCCTTTGTTATTCATATGTCTTCTGAACGATGTGTCATTCATACTCATTAACGGTAGCGTTGTCTTGATTTTCGCCGATAATATGGTCGTGCTGCGTCCATTAGTCGCTGATAACAGTAGTGACCTTTTACAAGAGGATCTTAATTGTCTGTTTGAATGGGCGTCATCCAAAGGTCTTTGCTTCAACGCAGAAAAATCAGTTCACATGCAGTTCTCGAAAAAGCGTTTTGTAAATGTCAAAAGTGAGTTTTTTCTTGATGGCAAATTAATTCCCTTTTGTGAAAACACAAAACATTTGGGTGTCGAAACTGACCGCGAACTTTCGTTTAAAATTCACGCAGATAAACTTACCGCAAAATGTAAAAAAAGAATATGGTATATTAATTCCTTGTTTCGTTTCCGTGATTCTGGAGCGCGAATCGCACTTTTCAAATCGTTAGTTTTTCCTGTTATGGATTACTGCGGGCCAACTGTTTTTCCTTTGTATAAAACTTCTAAAGACAAAGTAGAGCACTGTATTGAAAAATTTTTATCGTCGGTCCGCCTTGGCAGTGATCCTTCTGACTATCAGCTCCGTTTAAAAGAACTTAATTGGGACAGCTTCAGGATTAGAACTGCAAAAAAACTTCTTGTTTTTGTGTACAAACTTGTTTTCGGAATGATTCCGTTAAGCAGTGCGTTCTTCTCTAAGTATTCGGTGTCTGCCGCCTTGTCTGAATCTGTTTCAGGTAACACACGCGGCCTCCACCGTCTTGAGCGACACTATCTCCCTCTCTGTCCATCACCAACGACTGTGTGTGGCGTAACAGTTACTCCTATCCCCGGCTCCTTTAGCGAAAAGCTCACGTCTCTTTAAAAAACACAGCCGTACTTTGCTATTGCTTTATTCGGCTAGTTGTTTCGAAAACGGCTCGGTTTACATGTTCAGCAATGCATTAATCAGGTGACAGACAGAACATTCTGTGCAAAGTACGGTAATTCATTCACGCAGAGTTACAATGGAGGCTATAACACTGCCAAAGACAGATCGTATGCAGCAGCTCGCAAACGCGAGCGCCAGCTTTATTTTAACGCGCATCGGCGCTAACCGGCTCGGGCAGAGCAAGACGTTCAACAGAACCAGACTAAGAGAATTCTAAACAGGTAGACAGCAAGCACATCTCTAGGGAAGGCGCCAATCCTCTGCTTCGACTGATCTCCCTGTCTACTTCCATTTGGCACGATTGGTGCTGCGGACATCACAGGCCTTTCAGTCCAAGCCGTTACTGAGTAGCCAGGGTGGTATTGTGATCCTCCATCTCCCGTGCCCGTCTCCTTGGTGGTATTGCTGCCTCAAGCACTTCGCACACAGGCCTTGCGGGCCGTGCACTCGCAGCCTGAACTCAGAGTGGTCACCCATCTGAGTCCAAACCGCGCTCGATGTAGACTATCTTTCAAAACCCGAAGGTTTATCCATCTAGCCACAACGAGTGTGCTCAAGCCACAACGAGTGTGCTCCTTTCCCCCTGGCTCGTACAAATCTCTCGGAACTTTTTGCTCATCCTTGGAGCGTGTGAAATGGAAAGATCTAAACTGGTCGAAAAAATATTTACATTTCTGAATGACTTTTTGTTTTCGATGTTTTACTCATTGATTTATTACTTTATCGTGCTTGTTTCTTATTTTTATACTTTAATGATTTGTTTCTTGTTAATTTTCTGTCTAGCATTGTTTGTACGTTATTATATCGCAAACAGTTTTCTTGTTCTCCATCCTGCGTTTCACTGCATAATCTTTGTCTCATTGTCCACTGCTGCAAACCGGCTCTGTGCCGTCGCACGAAGACAATAAATTCTCCATTATTATTAAGAGAAAGGCATTGTCACATTTTATTGCTGTTCAGCA